CCGGGGCTGACGCCTCTTCAAGCAAAGCTCAATCTCCTCGCAGGTAAGTCAACCATCCCAATTACACAAGGTGTCTACATACTAACAGGTCAGGATACATTGCAAAGCTCGGTAGCGCTGCTGGTCTTCTTCTCTTCTTCGTCCTCCTCATCGAATTCCTTGCCAAACTGCCCAACAACCGCGAATCAGGCGAGCAGAAGGGCCAAGACTTTCTCCAGATCCTCATCACTTCCATCACCGTCATCGTCGTCGCCGTACCTGAAGGTCTTCCCCTCGCAGTAACACTCTCCCTCGCCTTCGCGACAAAGAAGATGACGCGCGAGAATAACCTGGTGCGACATCTTCAATCGTGCGAGACTATGGGTAATGCCACGGTCATCTGCTCCGACAAGACTGGTACGCTCACCGAGAACATCATGACTGTCGTCGCTGGATCATTGGGCATTCGTGGACTCTTTTCCTTTGGCGATTCTTCGTTTGAGCAGGAATCCGCTGGTGCTGAGAAGAGAGAAACCATTGCGCTGGCTCAGTTCGCGACTAAGCTCGATCCCGAGTACAAGGAACTTCTCAAGACTGCCATCACCGTCAACACCACGGCTTTCGAGTCGGACGAAGAAGGAAAGCAAGGCTTCGTCGGCACAAAGACTGAGACTGCTCTTCTCGACTGGGCCCGTCGCTATCTCGGTCTCGGCCCCCTCGCAATCGAACGCGCCAACCATCCCATCACCCGTCTCTTCCCCTTCAACTCCCAGCGCAAATGCATGGGTGCCGTTGTTCAAATCCCCGGTCCCACAAAGGATAAGCCCAAATACAGACTCTACATCAAGGGCGCTTCCGAAATTGTTCTCGGCGAATGCACCACCATTCTCGGCGATCCTACCACATCACCTACCACCGAAGCCCTCTCCGACGATGGAAAAGAGGAACTGCGATCTATCATTTTCAACTACGCGACCAACTCTCTTCGAACTCTGGGTCTTGCCTACCGCGACTTTGAAAACTGGCCTCCTGTCCTTACCCTCCGTCCCGAAGACGACAACGCTGATATCGACCTCACTGATCTTGTGCACAACCTCACCTGGATGGGCGTCGTCGGCATCCAAGATCCCGTGCGTAAGGGCGTTCCCGAAGCTGTAACCGACTGCGGCATCGCCTCCGTCAATGTAAAGATGGTTACAGGCGACAACGTCGAGACCGCGCGTGCCATCGCTCTCAACTGCGGTATCCTCACCGAAAGCACAATCAACGAGCCCAACGCCGTGATGCAGGGCTCTGACTTCCGCAAGCTCTCTGAATCAGACCGCACAGCAGTTGTAAAGAAGCTCCGTGTGCTCGCGAGATCGAGTCCAGAGGATAAACGCATCCTCGTCAAGACGCTGCGATCGCTCGGTGAGATTGTCGCTGTTACAGGTGATGGAACCAACGATGCGCCTGCGCTTAAGGCAGCAGACGTTGGTTTCTCTATGGGTATTACTGGTACGGAAGTCGCCAAGGAAGCATCGGATATTATCCTCATGGACGATAACTTCTCCTCTATTGTTGTTGCGTTGGGCTGGGGTCGTGCTATTAACGACTCGGTCAAGAAGTTCTTGCAGTTCCAACTTACCGTTAACATTACAGCTGTCGGCGTAACCTTCATCTCAGCTGTGTCAGACGACGAGCAGAAATCTGTTCTCAACGCTGTTCAACTCCTCTGGGTCAACCTCATCATGGATACCTTTGCCGCTCTCGCTCTCGCCACCGATCCCCCGACCGGAAGTCTCCTGCACCGCGAACCCGAAGCTCGAACTGCACCGCTCATCACAATCACCATGTGGAAGATGATCATCGGCCAATCGATCTACCAGCTCATCGTGTGTTTCGTCCTCTGGTTCGGTCGCGACTCAATCCTCGGTTATGAAGAACGCGAAGTCCGCTCTCTCATCTTCAACATCTTTGTCTTTATGCAGATCTTCAAGCTCGTCAACAGTCGACGCATAGATAACAAGCTCAACATCTTCGAGGGTCTTCACCGCAACCATTTGTTCATGCTCATGATGACCATCATGGCAGCTGGACAGATCATCATCATCTTCTTCGGCAGCGACGCCTTTGTCGTTACGCGCCTGAACGGTACCCAGTGGGGAATTTCTCTCGTTCTTGGCTTCTTCTCTATCCCTATCGGTGTCCTCATTCGTTTGTTCCCCGACGAGTGGTTCCATGCTTTTGTCAAGGTTCTTGCGAAGTTGTGGCCAAGCTGGATCCGCTTCTCGCGCAAGAAGAAGGATACCTCTGAGGAAGATGGCACCGAGCCGTTTCCTAAGGAGAAGCTGGAGGGGTATGATATGGATACCGCACTTCTCGGCATTCGCGATGATCTCGAGTTCTTGAAGCGTGTCCGTGGCGGACGCATGACGGCGTTGAGTGATGCCATGGCGCGCTCACGCGAGAAGATGCTTCGACGCAAGAGATCCGAGTCTCGACCCAGAAGCAAGCTCCGCAGTCGTCGCGGTTCATCAAGATCCTCAAACAGACCGCCCATCTCACCGATGATGTCGGTCGTTGGCATGCCGGGTATTGTAGCTGCGAGTGTAGCAGGATTACAGCCTGGACAGGGTGCCAGTAACGAGAATCTTGAGGCGCGACAGGCGTGAGTGCGAGCATGATATACTGGATACTTGTGTTAATTTTGGGTTACGTTATGTTGCATTATTTAGAGATTGAACGAGTGCTGCATCTGTTTTAAGTGTACGAGTTCGATCAGAGCAATCATTTATTTATAGGAACGGAAAGGAAAGTCACCAAAGCAAAGCAAATCATAGATGTCTGGAGTTGGCGGTCGATATGTCATGTTATATATACAAACAAGTCTGAGCGAATGATCTATCTACTATTAATAAAAGTTTGAGCAATAAAGAAATTATTGAGGGTATCTTGCATTTCTTGGTGATGAGGATTGGGGTGAGCTTGCGACGCCCGCTCACTAAAGTTTAGCGCTATTAGCCACTGAATCTCAGTGGTTTTCGTTGCCCATTAGCACTAACCAATTTGCGGCTCAGTGCAGTTGATGACTGGAGGCACAGCGTTCCAAGCCGGGCAGACCTGGAGTAGCCCGACAGTTTGTTACTACGCTCAAGTCTAACAACAAATAATAGGACAAAATCTAAAGTCAACGATCGATCCGTTGCCCAGAGCCCTGTTTTTCTCGAGGCGCGCTCACGGTGGCATCATCCCCTCGCTTGGAGCTAAAACTCGAAGAAGGACACCTCGATCCCATGATTCTGCTGATATTTCTCTCTCAGATCTTGTTCTGCTCGTTCACCTTGTCCCGATAACTGCCACACACCAATCCGCAACGCTGTCAAACACGGTGTCGGCACAGGCGACAAATTGGCAAACTCTTCCAATATCGAGCTGAAACCCTCCTCCCAAGAAACATTGAAATCATCTAGCCCTTGTCGAAACACAAGCGCTTTCAAGGTCGGCGGGAGGACGTCCCCCAGTGTTAGATCGTCATCTATTACTGCGGTGCTTGTCGCATCAATGCTTTCGAGGGCAGAGAATCCCTTCAAAGAGCCTAAAGGCGTCGAAGAGGGCACATCGACTTCGATGTAATCGTCGCATGCTTCCCAATGAACGATCAGATGACGGAGAACTTTGCGACATGGCATCAATCCTTGGCTGATGGATTGGCCATCAAAGATATGCGCCTCTCCTGACCGATATAAGTCTAGTCGAAAGAATTCTAGATTCTTCATCTGGGATAGCAATTGTTTTAAAAAGCTTTCTTCAACGGTGGTGTATCGCAAAGTGAGACTCGTGAGGGATTCCGAAGGCGACACCGTAGGCATTGCGACGTCAAGTGGTGCCTCTGGACAGCTGAGTTTTAGCGCGACTTCTCTGAGCCGAGGCGCCCGAAAGATTGGCAGCATGTCCAAGACCTCTCCCCTTCTCATCAAGTCTGTATGGCAGTCAAAGTCTCCAGAAGGCCAGCTAAATGCTTCCAGACGTTCGAGTCTGGTCGCTCTCGTCATCGAATGAGGCTCGCACGCCAGGTGTAGCACATCCCCAATGGGACTGAAATTCGGTGTCGGTGAGCCATATCCATCATCACGGTGAAACATGTCAATCACCAGTATTTCTACATTCCGCAACTGCAGAATAATAAGCGCGACAATTGTCTCCACTTCCAGGTCATAAAGCCTCTTGATCCAATCTTCTGAAGGCGATAATCCTGCTTCCTCTATCAGGCTACCTATGGCAACATTGGCGTCTCGAAGAGAATTCGCGTCTGCGTGCATGCGTGGTTTCGGGCCATATCCGGTCTCTTGAACGCTGAATTCACGGATATATGACGCCAATTCCGGTCGGTGAAGTAGATTGAGAAATAACTGCTGGATGGGCGCAGATGCATCCGGTTTGCTGTGGTCCCAAGTCCATACTATCTTGCGGTAAAGGTATTTCTCTGTGATGGCGTTGAATGCTCGTGAGACAGCTGACAGGTGGAGCAGGTCAATTGGCGCAAGACACTGAGCAATGATGTCCCATAGTTCGGGTACGGCTACAAGACTGAGAATCATGGAAACACAAATCGGCGACTAGAAGTGTATGACGAGGAATTTGGGGTACAAGAGACAAACAGCTCACGTATTACTTAAAACGTGGTAGCTGAGGGGGATTAGATGTTGGAGCAGGGACCATCACATCTCTGGCTTAACTACGTTAGCTAGGGGAGGAAAGAAAACTCAGGACCTTAACCCTAAATGACAAAAAGACTTAGATGACTTAACATAAATTTAGGATATCTTTTGCTAAGTTTATTTTGACACATCATATCAATGTCTTGTGTTTTCTTGTCCCCCGAGGGTTAGGTACTAACTTAGCTACCTCAGGTGGGCCGGGAATGCGTGGTGGTGGTGGTGGTCACTGCTCGGAAACCTCACTGGTTATGGGCCTGCAGCGACGGTAATGCATCTTGGTTAAACCTGGAACTATGTAACAAGTAGGTATAAACGTGTAGCTTAAGAAGTAGCATACCCCGGAGGAAGGTTTGGGTCATAGCCTAGCTGCGAATAAATTGTCTGCCAATCCTGATTTGTCGGCGCAAAGTATGGTGGCATCATCTGAGATGTTGGAAGCATCATGTCTTGCCCAGAAAAATTCCCAGCCTGAGATATGGTCCAGTTTTCGATGTCGTATCCAACTCGAGGCATCATCGCTAATTCTTTAGAGCCGTCGTTTGTCGGAAACATGGATATAGCCCCTTGCGAGGTGCTTCCTTTCGGCAACGTTGTCGTTGGATAATCAGAGTCGCTGTCTTGCTGAACCGTCGTCGCCGAGTCTTCAGAAGTGCGTCTTATCGCCGTAGAATCCACGAAGCTGGCTCCATCGTTTGTCGTTGATGCAACATTCAGCTGCCTGCTATTATCACCCACCACAAAGCCCATCTCCTGCAAAAATGAGCCCTGCAATTGAGGAACTAGCCCTTTCACAAATTGCTCAATATCGTCTTTTATGGTCTCGGGCAAGGGACATCCGACCGTGCTCAAACGCCTCCCAACAAGGGCGGGGAGCTCCCTCGTCAAAAAACGGCTGTACTCATGGCAAACGTTGAACTCCCTAAGATTCTTGTCTTGGTCAGTGTCGTAGAGGTCTAAATTGTCAGTTTGATTCATATAGCGACGATGCGGAGGGCATGCTGACATACAAGGGCTGGGTGTGTCCTTGTCGTGTGGAAACGCGATGGCGTAGACGTCGTTCCACCTTTCCACCTCGTCTTTGTTCTTCCCTGTACCCTTTTTACTCCTCATCCTCTTCACCTGGTCTTGGCTTAGTCCATCTTGGGCACCGATGCAGGGCGTGCATGCCTGCTGCTGCTGCAGGTGCGCTTCAAGGGCGTCGGAGGTATTGAGATCAACGCGACAGCGCCGACACTGATATTCAGGCAATGAATGCCTACGATACATGTGCTCTCTATTGCTAAGTGTTAATATATAAATTGTTGTGAGGTGCCTGGAAACGTACTTACTTTACGCGATGGATGTCCCGATAGCCAGGGTGTGCACAGCTCTTCCACCTAGGTTGACCATATTTGCGGGGATTGCGCTTGAAGTATGGACAGGCAAACATTCGTATCTCCGGATCTCCATCAATTCGTTGGGATTTGGAGCTCTCCTCGTTGCCATCGTCATCCTCTTCGTTTGTGCGCTTACGTTTGGGAAGACGGCGAGGCCGAGGTGTACTTTTCTTCTTTTGTGTACTGGAGCTGTAGCTGGAAGTGGAGGTCGAGGTTGAGTTTTGGCTTTGAGAAGTGGTACTTTGACGACCACCATGTCCGTCAGGCCTCTCTTGTGTCAAAGGCGCTAGCCATTGTCGAAGCCATCCATGGAACCATTGCATAACAACTGTAATTTCCGGGTTGCCATCGGGCGTTCCCATCAAACTCGTCGCTAGAGCCTGAGTCTTGGGAGGTACCGAGGGTATGATGGTCCTCTGCGGACTCGTGTTGCGAGAGCATTCCTTTGAAAGACTGATATGCGGAGGAAATGGTCTCTTCGTCGATCAGAGGTGTCAGATATTCATGACCTTGAGTCCAGCCTCCAACACCAACAGAGTCTGCACTGATGTTTAGTTTCCTTGTGAAGGCATCGCTTAGCCGCTCTGGTATCTGGGAGCACACGGGGGGCGAATTGCTGTGCTGTGACATGTTTAGATATCGGGGCATGCCAGGCATGCTGCTATAGCCACTGTCTGCGACCGACTTGCCGCAATTGAGTGGTTGAAGGCGAGGTTTTAGCGTAATTTTATGGATGCCGACCTCAGAACTGGCTGCCCATTGTACAAGCTCTGCATCTCGCTCGCCTCCGAATACGTCTAGACATTGTGGACTGGTAAGAAAGTGTTCAGCAGCGTGGTTCAAGCGCTGATCCCACGCTGTAGCACCAGTGAATCGGAGTGATGCGCATTGGGGCATGGGACAGCCAAGGTCTTGAGGTAGTCCACAAGTCATTCGCATCGACGAGTCTTGACGGTCTACAAGCCACTGCACCTCTGTACCGGGAAGGAATATTATATCGCTCTTTTTATCGTGCGACTTGGTCGATTGATGGTGACCGAGAAGATGGATTCGAAAATCGTGTTTATTCGTGAAGTGCCACCCAGCGGCGTCATCCAGCCATAACTCATCCTGGTCGGAGGAACTATCTGTCTGCAAAGACATGCATTGCTCCAAAGTATCCCTTGAAAATGCGCAATCGCCTTCTGTACACTCCCAAAACACCCGATCTAGCTTCAAGTGCTGAGAAATAATATGGTCCTTCCAGTCTCTTTTATTCAAGAACTTTTGATCGCAGCCGGCGAAGTGGAAGACGCAGAGGAAGGGATATTGACTGGCTTGGCTTGGATCTCGACGGGAGACATCTTCTTGAACGGTCCGTAGCTGAGTCTTATGGGCATCGACGTAGAATTGATCGCGTTCGGAGCCATTGGACAGCACTGTCAGGAGTCGACCATACAGACAAGCTGGTTCGTTGAGGTAGCGGCGTGTCGCGGGAGAGTGGTGGGTGAGCGGACGATGTTCCATTGTGGAGGTGACGTAGGCGAAGGCCCCGCAGGATGAAGTCGCGGGAACAAAACGAGATGATGAATGCAGTAATATTGATAACTATTGCGGATAAAATATTGATGATATTAGAAAAGAAGAGAAACTTGCAAATGGTGGTCTCCTGGGAATTGCGAGCTAAAATATGTGACCTCACTTGTGTTTGTTTGGCGCAGCGCGCAATTGCGCGTTCCTCTTCTAGTACAAGTCCTAACATGAGCATGCAGGACTCAGGAGGTGACACAGAAGCAAACACGCACAATTGTGGCCAGCATCATCGAATATTGCAGCTACGCGCTGTTTTCTGCAACATTGATCCATTGTGAGCGTGGATTGTTTAGCTCGAGGCTTTAATGAGGCTGTCGCGACACAGTTGCTGAGATATCTTCTGCTGGGCTGGGATAGCGCTTGGAGTGCTGATGATGGCGCTGAGACAAGCATCAGTCGCCACGCAGTTTCATCTGTCAGCGAGCGAGACCAAGACTCAGCCTGACATTATCGCATCGTGCAATTGACAGAGCACGCATTATGTCGGCGATGACAAGAGAATGATCTTGTCTCTGCAATTGAGAACAGCTTGTCGCAACTCAATACCACTCAGAGCGACAATCGGCACAGCTGCATCAACACCGAAGATCAAGCAGACAAGCTAATCACAAAATCTGGGGAAAGCTCATATTCTTACCTAAAGAAAACAAAACAAAACAAATATGGACTCAATCGACTTTTATCCACTCCGGAATTCGGAACCCAAATTCCTGGGCCGGCAATCAAGATGAAAGAGGCAATTCTGGATAAAACTGCTTCTTTGGTAAGTGTCACGAGGTGTATTAAGTACCAAAACAGCGATATTCCTATCCATCATGATCTTGTTACGTACGGCACTCAACAACCGGCGGGACAAACAGGTTATAATTACCTGTTTTGTAATTAATTCAAGAGGGGACCTCGAGTTATCTTATCAACTGATAACTAACCCCAATCCAGTTTATCTTTCCGTGAGGCTCACGATTTACCCCGCGATATCGCCTCTCCACCACGAGAGCTAGAGGAGCTGTCACACATCAATCCCGATACGGAAAAAAGAGTCGTCTATTTCCAACTCGAGACGTTCTTATCATCATGTCCCCGAAAACTATATATCCCTCCCCTCCTCTCCTCCCCCTTAACATACAGTCTTCACCTAACCATTAATCCTCAACACAGTCAGTCATCATGGGTCTCACACAACATCATCCTTTTGATCCTCTCTCCGGAGATGAGATCGCCGCTGCCGTTGAGGCTATCCGCAAGTATCAGTCCGGCCGACTCCTCTTCAATGCGGTTACTCTACATGAGCCCCGCAAGAAGGAGATGTTGAGGTGGCTGGAGCATCCTTCTGATGGAAATAAACCTGCGAGAATTGCGGATGTCACTGTCATTCTTCCCGATGGAGCTGTCTACGATGGTCTTGTGGATCTCAAGACGAGAAAGGTCCAGAAGTGGGAGAAGCTCGATGGTCTTCAGCCTATTGTAAGTTCAAACTTCTCAACTAAGCTGAATAGTAGCTGACAACGTAGATCACACCCGAGGAACTCATCCAGGTCGAGGAGATCATGCGCAAAGACCCCAAGGTCATAGAACAGTGCGAAATCTCCGGCATTCCCAAATCAGACATGCACAAGGTCTACTGCGACCCCTGGACAATCGGCTACGATGAACGCTTCGGTAGCAACATTCGTCTGCAGCAGGCACTCATGTACTACCGTCCGGATCCTGATACCTTCCAGTACCAGTACCCTCTTGACTTCTGCCCCATCTACGACGGCGCCAAGAAGGCCATCATCCACATTGATGTCCCCAGCGTGCGTCGTCCATTGAGCAAGCAGAAGGCTATTGACTACACTCCTCGCTACATCAATGAGAACGGTGGTTATCGAAAGGATATCAAGCCTATCAACATTACACAGCCAGAGGGTGTCTCGTTCACCATGAATGGACGCGTTTTGTCGTGGCAGAACTTCAAGTTTCATATTGGTTTCAACTACAAGGAGGGTATTGTGCTGAACCACATCACCTTCACCGACAAGGGTATCGAGCGACCTATCTTCTACCGTCTCTCCCTCTCGGAGATGGTCGTCCCGTACGGTGCGCCCGAGCACCCTCATCAGCGAAAGCACGCCTTTGATCTTGGTGAATACGGTGCAGGATACATGGCCAACTCTCTCGCTCTGGGCTGCGACTGCAAGGGTGTGATCCACTACCTCGACGCCGAATTCGCCGCTCGCGATGGTTCTATCCGCACCATCAAGAACGCCATCTGTATTCACGAGGAGGATAACGGTATTCTCTTCAAGCATACTGACTTCCGCGATGATTCCGTCACCGTCACACGCGCGCGAAAACTCATCGTGCAGCAGATCTTCACAGCGGCGAACTACGAGTACGCATGCCAGTGGGTGTTCCACCAAGACGGCACAATCCAGCCTGAGATCAAACTCACTGGTATTCTCAACACATACGCTCTCAACGAGGGCGAAGAGGCTGGACCGTGGGGCACAGAGGTTTATCCCCAGGTCAACGCTCACAACCATCAGCACTTGTTCTGTCTGCGCGTGAACCCCATGATCGACGGTGTGAACAACACTGTCAACATGGTTGATACTGTTGCTAGCGAGGCACCCGTCGGAAGTCCCCAGAATAAATACGGCAATGCGTTCTACGCCAAGAAGACAAAGTTGAGGACGAGTGGGCAGGCCAAGACAGATTACAACGGTGCAACGAGCAGGACGTGGGAGATGGTTAATGAGAATAAGCTGCATCCTTATTCCAAGAAGCCTGCGTCTTATAAGCTTGTTAGCAGAGAGGTTCCAGGTCTTTTGCCTAAGGAGGGTTCGCTGGTATGGAAGCGAGCTGGTTTCGCCCGCCACGCTGTTCACGTCACACCTTGTAAGTACTTCACCTCTTTTGACATGGTATGATACTAACAATGTACAGATCGTGATGATGAGCTCTGGGCCGCGGGTCGTCACGTCCCCCAAACATCCGGCGAGCCATCCCAAGGCCTCCCCGAGTGGATCGCCGAAGGCACAGCATCCACTGAAAATACCGACATTGTTCTCTGGCACACTTTCGGCGTGACACACATCCCTGCCCCCGAGGACTTCCCTATCATGCCCGTTGAGCCAATGACGTTGTTGCTCCGACCTAGGAACTTCTTTACGAACAACCCTTGTATGGATGTGCCGCCTAGTTACTCTATTACTCCTACGCAGGTTGCGGAGAAGAAGGGGGCGCTGGATCAGAGTGATAAGGTTAGCCAGTTGGCTTTTGGGGGTAAGAGTTGTTGTTCGGGTGGTAATGCTGCTGCGAGATTGTAAGGGAGGTTGAGACTGTATAGTTAGTCATAGCGTTAAATTGCATAGAAGGATTATCTGCAAATGAGTAATGGTGATCTCTTGTCATGTTCTGGTGATGTGATGATAAGCTCGAATCTTGCAGAGCAAAGCCTAGCAAGCAGACTATTCGTCTGGTATGTTTCATTTACCATGGATGCTTGAATTAATCTTAGAATGAACTAGTGAGAGGCGTGTCTATGTAATGGCCATTGAGGCAACTTGCACATGAAGCTCTCTTGTGAAAGCCCCTTCAAGGATTGCGATATCTACAGTGAACCTGCCACGACCAAACCGACACACAGCAGGCATTGATTGAACTTAGAGAACTTAGTAAGATAGGTATGTAGACAAAAGAATAAATCGTCTTGAATCAATGAAATACTCTTACAAGAAGTAAATAATGTACATGTACCACTATGCAGAAGGTCCACCAACAAAAATCGTCAAAGTCTCCGGTACGCCCGAAACAACACCCGAAGCATTCTCATTCCCATCTGGATTGACATCATCATACGGAAACGCATATCCCTTGCCATCGACCTCATAAGAATGCACAATACGACTATAATGGTTCGTCGGATCATTCTTGTAGTACGCTTCCTGTCCCAACTTGGGCTGAGTATCGCCTCCGTCAACAAGGAGTGTACTTCGAACAAACGCAGCACAGAGACGAGGAACGACTGCTGCGTGAATTGCATTGTCCCCTTCCATTACAGTAAAAGGACCGTTGTTGCAACCCCAGATGTCTTTGGTGTTGGGTTTGCCGTATCCCCTGTTATCGCCATCGCAAGTAAGCTGGTCCCCTGTAACGCGGCACTTGACGTTGCCTGCTTCAGACTGCGAGTTGATGATGAGGTCTTGAGAAGAGTATTTACTCCATACATCATTGACATAAGTATTCCAGTAGTCCCCAAAGGTAATCGGTTCAAGATCGTACTGATTGCCAGGCGAAAGCACACGGACTGGTTTGCCCTGCGCATTCGCAATGCACATAAACGTCCACGCCCTCCCATCCTTATCTTTCTGCTTAACAAGATCATCGCAGATCTTACTCACAGCGCCAGACTCAAGTCCGGCACACGATTGAGTACTTCCATCTTTGAGAGAAAGACCCATGCCGAGAGGAATACCCACAAAGTCGACATAACTGATATTGGCGTACAGAACGCCGTTCGTGTAGGTGAATTCCACAAAACCCCAATCCACACCAGCACTAGGATCTTGAAGATTCGTAACAGAAGGCTGGACTAAACCATCGCCAGTTCCAATATCAACGACGAAAAAGTGAAGATCTTCATTGGCGAAATAAACACGGCCTGAACTCATGGATATAGGAACGGTAAACTCAAGAGTCTGGCCCTGTGCCGGGAGAGGAATAGCGATGTTATCTTTGATCTCAACAGGGACTTTCGAACCTCCTGATTTAGGATACACAAGATTTCCACTCGCGCCGATGAAGACAACGGTGCCGTCAGAGTCCAGCCCTGAGATGTATGCTCTGACGTTTCCACCGCTGAAGTTGTTCACTAGCTTCAGAGGCAGCGTGGCTTGTTCAGCGCGGTGTGTTAAAACGCGAGTCTTGTTTCTAGCGTACGTGCCGTTCAGGAGATTGTTATCTGTCACTTCAACATTATTTGTACCGCCCGGGTGAACTTTAAGAAAGCCTTCGCGGGTGGTGTCGAGGGAAGACGTCTTGAAAGGAGCGGATAGAGCTGTGCCAAGAAGGCAAGCTAAAATAAGGAATGAACGCATTCTATCAAAGAATGACTTAAAAGAATGTGATACAGAAGGCTACAGAGCACGACTAATTCTGGTCAATTACTACATCTATATACTACAACCCATCATATGTTTCAGCTCATAAAAAAGACTCAGTGGTGATATTCCAAGGGATCGCAGGTCGGAAACATTCGAGTTGCATTATAAACCGGGGTATTCAGAAACAGGTTTTAATATATATCTGAGGGAAAGGATGAAACGGAGTTTCATCTGATGGGAGATGTGCTGCTGGGCGATGTGATTTGCTGGACTAGTGCGGATGTTTGAAACAAGGGTTCAAGAGGGGGATGAAGTCCATGCTCCTTTCATCTCGAGAGGGCCAGTAACGGGCCGATTTGGTGAAAATGCTCAGGAGGAGGGGATTGGGGATTGTGATTTGTTAGAGCGTTTAATTGAGATTGTTTCTGGGGTGTTTGATGCGGTGATGAGATTAAGGTGTTGAGATGGTGGATAGATGGCCAGTTAGGAGGACGGATTGGGAAGCTGAGATCTGAACGGAGACTGAGAATGTTTCAAGGCATTGGTGAATTGAGAATTGTTTAATGTGTGAGTAGTGAAGTAAGTGTAGTGCTGAAGGATTGGTTAATCCTGGTGTTAGTGAAGGATCTGACCTGAGAGATGTTACGTTTCATCCGTCAGCCGCTAAACGCACGTCTTTATGCGTTCACCCAAAGGACGATCTGACGAGAATCACGACACTTCTGGTCTGTGCCTCGATCCTTCTGTAGATCAACCACTAAAAGACGAACCCTAATGAAAGGGAACCAGAAGTGTATCATATTGAGTAGACAACTATCCTTCAAACTAACAACATATCCATTTTTAACACCAAGAATTACAACTTGCTCTGCTTGATCAAGTGAGCATTAACAGGCGATATCGCCTTCCCCGTCTTCCAAAACTCCGTAATGTTCTCCATCCCCAATTTCTCAAAGCCAATATGCGAATCTAGACTCGCACCCGCGTTGTGCGATAACAACTCCACGTTGTTCATCTTCAGCAGCTCAGGGCTGATGTACGGCTCATTTTCAAAGACGTCTAGTCCAGCACCTGATAAATGACCGCTGGAAAGAGCTTCAACGAGATCAGCTTCGTTGATGAGTTTTCCACGCGCAATATTGACTAGCTTTGCGCCACGCTTCATCTTTGATAAACCAGCTTTGTTAAGTAGAGTTTCGCCGGCGAAGGGTGTAGCGACGACGACGCAGTCTGCTTCAGCGAGGAGATCGTCTGATGATTTAAAGGTAGCTTTGAGGGGTTCTTCGATTGACGAGGGCATTTGAGCGACGTCGTTGTAGATGATCTTCATGTTGAGTGCTTTATACGCCTTTTCGGCGATGCGGCGGCCGATGCGACCGAAACCAATGATTCCAAGGGTGAAGCCGCTGGGGTTGCGGGATACAGGGGCCAGGTTCTTGTTGGCGTCGATGAATTTGTCCTTGTCGCCTGAGCGGGCTGCTGTGCTGGACCAGCTGAGGTTGCGGAAGACGGAGATGATGAGCCAGATTGCTGCGTCTGCTACGGATTCTGTGCAAGCAGCTGCTGCGTTGCAATACGTGACACCTAAGCAATCTTGTCAATAACTATGATTTAAGAAGTAAAAGTGGTAACGTACCTCGCTTTGCAAGTGCCGCTGTATCAACCCAGTCAAAGCCCGCTCCAGCACTAGCATAAATCTTACACGATGCGGGAAGAAGAGAGATCAATTCATCATCCCAATTTCCCATCTCACCGCCTGTGTTCCAGAACGGTCTGTAGATAGCGAAGAAATCGCCAAAGGTCTTTTGCTTCAGGGCGTTGATGAAGTCGGGGCGGGACATGCTGTGCGAGCGCTTGATCTCAAAGTGAGATGTGAAGGTCTTGTAGAGATCATGGTTCCATTTGATGTCGTCGCCGAGATGAAGAACGATTGGTTTGGACATTTTGGCGCTTGAGATGGTGAGATTGTGATAGTGGTGGGAATGAGGATTGTGTATGGGAATGGAAGTGTCAGGGTATTATAATGATACGAGTTTGAGTGTAACGCAGTTGCTGGAGGGTGAACACGGGCATTCGGCCGATGGGGCATGTTGAGAGAATGCCGGCTCTTGAGTGGGCAATTCTGCCCGGTGGACTGTTGATGATTGACAGTTTGGGGGAATTTTGGCCGTAAAGATCCATAGAAAAGACGGTTTGGAGAGGTTGGATTGGTTGGGGCGAGTACCCCGGATATTGAAATCGGGGTTCTTCCCGAGCAGCCGTTGTTACGAGAGATTGTCGGTGAAATGGAAATCTGGGGTAGATGAGACTGAAACATTAAAGATGCCCCATTACGAAAAGCATGAATGATAAAATACCGGTAATAGGAATGAAAGGGAAATACTTCAATGCTTTGAGACTGGTAACATTGGTGATATTTTTCTACTGGTCACGTCTGCAATGAAATATTTATCTAAAAGACCACTCATCGACTGAGTCTTGACTATCACTTCAACTCGGTCTCATATATGCCTACGATGATACACCATACATCATGACCGAACAGCCAAACGGCAGTCCCTATTTGACCATCGAGGGACAACAGCGCCGCCAGCTACTGGCTCCTAATCCTTCTTCTTGATCCTGGGGAAGCTCAACCAAACACCGGCAACAACCGTAATCAACGCAAGAATGATAGGCTGCAAAACACCAACACCCTTATGGTTAGCGATAGCACCAATGGCGAATGGAAACACCGTTCCGCCGGTACCACCGATCGCCATTGCGAATCCGATAGCAGAAACGTGGATCTTAGCGGGCAGAAGTTTGGCTGTGACCATAACGGCTCCTGGGAATAAGGGGCCAAGGAAGAAGCCGAGAAAAGCGACCGCAACGGCTGAGACGATGAATTTTGGCACGAGCCAGAAGAGGAGTTGGAGACCAATGCAGATGAGGAGATAGATCGTAAGACAGAGTCTCTCGCCGAATCGCTCAGTTACGAAACCAAGACACGCACGCCCGAGAGCCATACCGGCCCAGAAGCCAGTACCTGAAGCACCCGAGGCATAGGCTGAAGCTTTTCGGACGCGGAGCATGAATGTGACGACCCATCCACCAAGACCGACTAGAAGAATGAGCATTGAACGGAGATCAGTGACGTGCAGACATACCTTCGACACCCATGTATGCAAAGAAGAACAATGCACAAAGCCACGTAACCTTGGACTTGAGCGCCTCTCTTGTTCCAGCACCACTACCCTCCGAGTTGTTCGCAGCATGTTCAGCCTGATAAACAGCCCCAGTCTGCTGCCAGAACGAAACAGTCAAACCAACCCACTCCACCACAGAAATGCCAATCTACACCGTCAGCCAGCGCAAAGCATAACAGTTACAAGATGACTCACCATAACGTAATAAAACGTATACCAAGGCAACCCCGCCGAAACAACCATACTCGTCGCAATAAGCGGCGAAAATAAAGCGCCAAACGAGTAAAAAGCATGTAAGAAGCCCTGCACGGTATTCGCTTTATCCATGGCTCCGACCCAAGCGCAGAAACACGCGTCTGTGAGTCCGTTTCCGAAACCGCTCATGATGTTGCAGACTACAAGGACGGGATAGGGAGGATGCAGGGCGAGGGCGATGAAGGTTATGAGGTGGCAGATTGGCGCCATGATGGCGACGCCACGTTGGCCATATTTCATGTGGATGCGGGCGTTGGTGAATGCGGCGACGGAGTAGCCTGCGAAGGGGGTGAGGAAGATGAGAGAGATGATGGTGTAGCTGAGGTCATAGTATGTTTCGAGCTGTGATTGTTAGAGAAGTGGTGTGATCGTGTTGATCAACGTACATATGGGATCAAAGCCTGGACTCGTTAGCAAAGTCAATTAGATCCGACTGGGAACATACTCCAACAGCCGCATCATTCATCCCCGCAATGATGAACGACAAAAACGCAAAAGCAAGCTTCGCTATATTTCCCCTAGGATAATTCCATCTCTGCACCTGCGCCGACGCATACGGCGGGGGTATATCATCCGGTGGGAGCGAAGGTTGTTCTTCGAGTTCCTTACCGCGGACGTGACATCCTTCTAGAGTCGTGAGCTCAATGGGTTCTTGGGTCTGTGTCGCTGTGCTCGACATGATGAGGGTGAGAGTGTGAGAATAAAGTGGACGTGGGAGGGTGAGATGGGAGGAGGTTTTATGTAAAGGAGGGATCTGCGGTGCGGATAAATACCGCGAGTGCGTTGTAGAGCCTCAATGGGAAAGAGGGCCAGCGGAATGCTTGTGGTGACGCGGGGTGTTATGCTTATTTTGGGGCGCTAGACTTGGTGGAGAAATATTCGGTAGGGAACGCGGGCCGTGTTCCAGGCTTGTTTATCAAATGACCACCTGAAGCAGAGTAGAACCAGAGTCTCGGTGTATTTCCATACATAACGGAATATGCCCTTGGAGATAGGGAGTGTGATTGAGCTACTCAAAATAAAAGAAAAATGCCAAATGGCTCTGCCGCCTGTTATTACCTAGAAAGAAAGAAGAACAATCGGACCTTGTTCAATTATCAAGACAACGCACCATTTGTTCTAGAACGACTCGCACGTATTATTCTCAAGATCTATCGAAGAACTGATATTACAAGCTGGCAGACAAGTTTGAAGGCCCAAGATTCGAATAGGGTCATACAGTCAAGGAATATAGTTTCAAAACATGGTTCGATTCAAAGTAGTGCATAATGCTATATAAAGTTATCTCCTCGACGAAGATTTCCGCTTTCGGCCATGAAAAATACTCTGGTGGTTTAGAAGACTATCATTTCTGGTAAAGCTCGTTTCTGGGCATTCAGAGCAATAGTAACGCTTTCTTTCCTCTTTCGGTTGATGCGTTTCCAAATGCCTCACCAGCTGTCTTTCTTGGAGTATCTCGTGACAAAAATGACAAGACCTGAAAGCTGTAGGGGTACTATGATGGGATCTGGGAGAATAAATCAGAAACTCTAATTTGTCACTTTCGCTACTGATCACATACTCTGTGTCGTACATTTGTCCTGAAGAACCGTAGGTATGATCCAGGGAATCAAGTCTCATGCGAGCTCTGGCAGCCTCTGTTGTTGCAATAGACAGAGGCTGAGACGTTGGGCATTGTGTTAATGAATTCTGAGTGTCTATATCGGCTCGGTGCGTGGTGGAACTTTCATGATATGAAGCCATGTTATTGCATTGGTTAATGTTGAACGAAAAGGGTAGAGAGTGCTGAACCTCGCAAGAAGGGTCAGGCGGTATATTAGGTCTCTAACGAGCCGAAATATATCCTCCAGACACGCTGTACGAGGCAACAGATTGTTCTTCGACAGGTGCCTCTGTGCTGAAACTAGTCCCAGAAAGTGCCGGCATAAAGCCAGTAGTGAGAGAGCCGTGACCAACGATGTTTCGGATGTGACGAAACGCCTCTGTTTCGTCATGAGTTAATTCAATGTTGTTGTCGTAGAAGCCGAAAGTGGCTAAGTTTGTATTATGCGAATTCTCATTTACTCCCGCCATGGAGATGGTGGGATACACGATGGGAGGAGATGACGTTACAAATTGTTCCCCAGATGACATGGTTAAACGAAATTACTGTTGTAAAACAACCTGATATAACTGTAAACCGATGTCTGGATGAACCGAAGCAAATGGCCTATCCAAGAAGCGAGTTTGTGACTGTTATAAAAAGTCCCCGAGCACTATCCAAGCGTCAACGAGGACAGACTTTGGAGATGTAGAGGGTCTTCGAGAACACCATACAAAGGTTGATTGTTTGGTGCGTCATATGTATGCTGGCGGCCAGCTAATGCAGACGGCCAACTAATGCAGACGGCCAGCTAATGCAGACGGCCAGCTAATGCAGACGGCCAGCTAATGCAGACGGCCAGCTAATGCGGGCGGCCAGCTAACGCAGATGGCCGACTATTTCAACTTGAGTGATTCATCTCTTATGACTTCCGCACGTGGAACATCGTCATTGGTGGGAAATGTGACTTATCATTGATGTTCATGTGAGTTCCCGGACCAACAACTATCTGTGGCCCCCAAACCCCTTCGAAGTCAACTAACCGCAGTTGGTAAAGAGCTGCATACTCTACTTGCTTATGATTTGTCTGGCTTACTATGCACTCCATCAGCTTCTACGTTGAAGCTCACCGGCCAGCGTTGTGCAAGGGCTTTGAAAACAAGACAGAAAACCAGCAAATGATTTCAGTTTAAAAGCTACAGATCACCTTGCATTCGTACACACTTAACAATTTACAGGTTGCTCATCAGCCTGCATTTGCATTGCATCGGAACCATCGCGGCTGCACTTGATTCGTCGAAGATGACACAACACGGCACAGTTATTGCAAGCGGCTTGAGAGATAAGATAATTCTTGACTAGCTAAGACATTTCTACACATCTGCATTTCAGCCTCTGACGTTCTCTAAAGCACTTAGCAAAAGATAAGCAAGGGGCTTAGGGATAGAGGCAACGGAGAAGGATTTATGTAGAAATCTGCTGGATCAGAGTTGGAGCGCAAGAAATCTACCAGAGGTCCACAAAGAGATGTCTCCAACTGGGATTTACTATATTAAGGGGGCCGACCACGCAAACTTAAAGTACTCAATACCCAGTGAACACAGCACAATCAGTAACTTTACTTTATTCTTTTTATCAAATCTATCATCCCTTTGTGAATTATTTCATAACAACAAAATGAGCTCTTCCAACAACCAAGCATCCGAGGCTCTCAACAGCAAGCAGCAGAGACAGTACCAGTGTCTTTGTATTTTGCTTCAAGCTGTCAACGAGACTTGCAAGCATAGGAGCGACATCAGATACTCCTCCGGAAAGAATCGCGGCTACGCCCTCTTGACCGATTATCAGAAGGCAATTTGTAAAATCGCACAAATTCTCGATAATGAGAAGGGTGGCGATTCTGCCACAGCGCTTATCGTTGCGAAGGGGCTGCGTGGACCAGACTACGTTTTTGCTTCAAACTTGAAGAAAACATCTGAACTCGAAAGAGCCAAGTCGTTTCTCTTTGACCTCCTCGAGTACGTGGGAAGCAACCCTGATGAATTGGCTCCTAAGGCACTGCAAAAGCAAGTCTTGGATCGTATTCTTGAGTTCAATTTTCTCAGATTTGATGCATACCTGAACGGACTGGGCACTGCTTTGCAGTCTTGCATCGATAACTGCGAGAGATCACAGGAGCCTAGCAGTAAGCTTATAAATGAACACAAACAGTTCTCTCATCTAACAATGACAGGGTCCAGCGATATGGCTCAGTTGCAAGCCATCAAAGAAAAGTCCTTGTTTCCTCGCGACATGACTTCTTCTACTAATTCCAAAACCAAATGTAAGAGGCCAGCCCCGCCACCTTCATCTCCCACATTGGCAAAAACACTAGGGACTAAACAAGATTTGGAAATAGTTTTCCGTGACTGCGAAGATCTCATCAAAGCCATACATAACAGCCAAATTACTGGAATAGATAAAGTCTTGCACAAGTACATTGGCACTACCGAGCCAGAAATTTCATATCAATGGAGTCAGCTGCGCCATCATCTTGGTCGTCTTCATTCATTTCGTCAAGCTTCCGAGGCCATAATCGATGCTTCCACAAAGTGGCCCTTGTTATTCAAAAACTTCAAGGTCGATTACATTCCATCATCCCGTCCTCGAAAGTTCACTCGAATCCACGGGCTGAACGCCTCCCCAACGGACATTATTAAGGCTGCTTTTCCAGATCAAGATCTATCATATTACGAGGACGACATTGCGGAGCTTCGCACGTACGGTCTGGATGAACAAATCCAGAAGCAGGAGCTTAAATTTCCATCGAAGAGTCTGGTTCACTGCGAAGCGAATTTGCACAGTCATCTTATCACAGCTGGGAAAACACGACCTTGCGACTTCTGGAACGATGTTATGTTTATCGCTACTAGCAAGCCTCCCTGTAGGCTCTGCCATTACTATTTTCAGGACGGCGACAATGACTTTCAAGTACAGTCGTCCCACATGAACCTTTACCCTCGATGGCGGCTCCCCGATATTGTTGATTCTAATGATGAAGCAAGCATTGGGCATCGTGAGGAGCTGATGGAGGATATATTCGAGCACATGCAGGACAGTATACTAAGTGTTTTACAAGAGAAGTTCCCTCAGTGGAAACGAAATGATTCTCGTACAGATTCGCGAGGCTGTACAGATATTCGAGAGGGTGCGGATAGTAGAACTCCAAATGGCGGACACTATATGCCATCCCCGGTCATGGATGATGACGGTTACGTGACGGACATACACGCTGATACTTTTGGTGTTGCCCGTTAACTCTTTCCATCGCTAGTTATATCTCGATATACGATAATACCTTGAACCCTTTGTCCTTAGTGTTTTGTTCTGGCTCCATGTCCCATACGGAATTGTTGACAGTGATTTCTACTCCCGCGAATCTGAGCTTGTAATAGCTATATGCTTCGGCTCTTATAACAACACGTAATATCAATCCTTCCGTCAGCCCATCGCCAAGACCCTAGACTTTGTGCAAAGTCTAAGGTATGGGCCTAAAGGAGGCTTGGTTACATCCCGAAATCAGCTTATTTCCCACGATTTGCGAAATCTCTTCGATCCCTTGTGGACCCAATCCACCAATAATGTCTAAGTTGTGAGCTAGATGTGTTATTTACAGTTGAGACTTGTGGCCGAGAGCTAAAATCAGCAGCGAGACCTTAGTACTCTAACTAACCTTGATAGCTACGCCATCGCCAAGTTTCTCAAGGAGGACCCTTAAAGACATCAGCAAGTTTAAGAATAGCACCATAGCTCGGATCGCCAAGAGCTGGAAACCTAAGGGGGACCTAACTATGGATCACATTTAATCTCAAGCTTCCAGCAATTGAGTACAGCGTTATTTTGTGAAATTCGGCCCCAAAGGAAAGATGAAGAAACACACCAGTGCAGTATCTCACAAGCCAGTTCTGTTCTTGTATGTCCTTTAATTTAATCATAACTTCCACTGTTCGGTCTCATTCACATACAACTTAGCGACGTGGACGGCTGTCTTTATCCAGAAAGTGAGTCGCATGCAAGGCCTTGTTGTTTTGAGGCCCCCGTGTATTAACAGCAGCCATGATAAGTATTGGTGTCAAGGACGTTTCCTCTCGCCTCATCAACGCCTTCGTTCAGAGCCATCTCGGCTTCAGCAAGGAGAGGACAATTCTACTTTGAAACGAATACTTCAGAAGCCACGTTTTGATCGTGGAGGTTCTAGTCTCCAATTATCAGGTTGATCCGCTAGAGTTCAACAGCATGGTCGACGATGCCGTTCCATTTGATTCCCTCATCAAGCCCAACCCGGAACTCCGCCAGTTACTGGAAGAGATTGAAAGGGAGAATTTTAGGCTTTCGCTGCTCAGTCATGTCCATATCACGCATGTCAAGAGAGTGATCCGCCTTTTGGGTGTCGAAGATCTACTCGAGGGCGCAATATACTGTGACTACTCCAAAGAGCCTTTGGTGTGCCGGCCACAGTCTGCCATATTTGAAACAGCTATGAGAGTAGCAGCCATCAAACGATGTAGCGATTGCTATCTGATTGGTGAGTGTCAGGTGCCTTTGAATCTTTCACGACACTAAGTTATATTGGAACAGATGATTCTTATCGCAATTGTCAGGGCGCAGAGTCGTTTGACTGGACCGCGGTGCATTTAGTTGAAAAAGGCATTGCCAAAGAACCAGTATTCAGACATCAAATTCGAAGTCTTAAGGAATTACGTGAGATTTTCCCTGGTGGGTTCAAAGGTCAAGCCAACGGTTAACTCAAATCATTGGTCGTTCTACCGCTGATATGCTCTTATCTACTCGAAAGAATGAATGTGGAGAGCTTCACCTCACCTGGCAGCTTAAGGTTGGTGAAAGATGCTTGAATAAGCATTAAACTTTGGGACAGTGTGACACTCGTCATAAACATGTCAAGGAGAAAGCCACTGTTTGACGTCACGATCCGGAAGATAGCCTTACGCTTGAGAGTCACCGTAACACGCTTCAGCCTCAAGGCTTATTCACCAAAAGTAAGAACTCTGAAGCAAGCCGTACTGAAAGTTTCATCATTGGGACACAAAGGTTAATAAATGGCCAGGACTTAACCCGAAGGTGAAAAAGTAGTTAATCGCCTTGACCTCTCCCATTTATCTTTCCTTCACATTCACCCAAAGCCCCTCATCTCAATACCAACCACTTCTCTACAAGCCAAACTCAAGATGGTAAGACACAAGCTCCAAACCAAGCATCAAGGCAGCGCTAAGAATAAACTGAACAGAGGCTACCCCCCGGCATAATAACAGGCCTCCTCTCATTGTCAAACGCCAACAAAGAAAAATGCTGGACCTGCAAGCAGAGCAGCGGTGCAACGAAACAAGATCTCCAGAACGCCATCGACGACTTTGGTCTAGCCTTCGGCCTCGAACCCCTAACCGTTAAACCCAGACACTGCTACCGATCGCTCTGCATGGGGAAATACTTCAGTCTCTGCAACTACGGCTACCTGGACTCGACTGAACCCGTGGGTCAGAGGAATCGGGCTAGGGAGTGGGTCTTCCTGGGGCAAATGGGTCGGAGTGCGCTGGGAACTTTAGGAACAAGCACAATTATGATTGGTATGAGTGTGGGTTGGTGCCTCAATGGGCGGGGAATAAGTTCGATGCGATAGTGACGAATCTGCAGATGTGTAATAAGCTGTGAGCTAGAAGTGTTATTTGCAGTAGAGACTTGTGGCTGAGAGCTTGAATCAGCAGAGAAAACTTAGAGACGTTGGTGCGGTTGGAACGTTTGCTGGGTTGGAGGAAAGTAGTCGCTGCAGGCCTGTGCTTGAATCAAGTCACCAAACACCACTGCAATACCTTCAGGTCATACTTGGTTTCATGATCAAGGTGAACGTGGCAGAGAGCTTTGGATGTCAACATCCCCTCTTTTTGGAAAATAACCGATCCGTCAGCCACCAATGCCTGGCACTGGATCAATTTGAGTGATGGATCAAGCTCAAGATCTCGTGAGTGTTCCTTAGTTTGAGCCATATGTATGCGGCCACTGTGAATCATTGTGTGCTGATTGTTTGATTATATCAATCATGCAAGCGTCTATGCCCAGCACTGTCAGTCAGTATTACCGCGCAGCGACTAAGGCACGCGATCTAGATACCTCGGGAGAGCAAAGAAAACACAGGACCTTAATCCTAAATGATAAAAAGACTTGGGGGATATAGCCTAAGCTTAGGATACCTTTGCTTTAGTTTATTTTGATACCCCTATATCAAGGACCGGTATTTTGTTGATCCCTGAGGTCAGGCCCTGTCAAGTCAATCACAACACCTGTATCATTCTCTACCAGTGATGTCTATACTTTCTAAGGATGAGGTGCCACTCTTCAGCCCTTCATGATCACAACTGGTACTTGAATTGGTCTAGGACGTAGTTGTACAAGACGACGCCATCCTCAATCGCTGGTAGCCGAAGGTTAACGTGCTCCATAGTCACGAAAACTCCAGGCTTCTAGCTCTTGGCGATCTTGGTCATGGTCCTTTGATCTTTAAACTTGCCGGCATAGGCGAGATTTTCTTTCAGAAACAAGCCGACGCGATAGTAGAACTGGCCTATAATTGTTATTAGTTAAACGAGGCTTCACAGCGGCCGGATTGACCCTGAAACTCACCTTCGCGCTTGATCTCTTCAGTCTCCATGTTGCTCCAATGAACACGTTCCCTCGGATAGCGGCTTACATCTTGACTCATCCGGAGCGCAACCACATGGTGGCAGAGAATAGTTCGCATATAACCCCATACTCCGGGATACAAATTGATATCCGCTACCATTGCATCCACCTCCCGTTTCACCATGTGTAGATCGCACAACGTGTCGAGCGAATTCGCAACATGCTAGGTCGTCCACTAGGCCATCGCTGACTGGTCGCGCGGGATTAAAACACTCCTTGCCTGAACCTGTTCCTAAACCTCATTCGGAGTCTCGAGCAAGAAGCCTCGGTGGCACTCGCCGCGGTACTCGGGACCCGGGATTCTGAGCGTTGCGTATGTCGTGATGAGGACGTCGGTGCTGCCCATGTTGAAATCGTGGACGATTCGATGGCATTCGGGATCTGCGCCCCAGATTGTGGCGACTTGATGGGAACTGATTCCTTTGGCGCGCATCTTTTCGTTCAATTTACTGTTCACGGGCTGTTAGCATATCCTTTTTCGCGACAGCCTGGCTATGCATAACTTGCATTGCGGTCTCGTTTAGCCTGACGTAGATCAGCACAGTCCTTTCTTCCAGCTCAGAGACCGTAGTCACTATCTCGTCCATCCTCCCGGTAAGGACTTCGCCATCCACTTTGATCAGAGGTTGGATGTCCTCTGACAGATTTGGGTCATGCGGGCGTGGCGCCATTGCTGCGATTGTAAGAAATGTAAATGTCTGTAAGAAAAAGAAGAAGAAGTCTGTTGATGGTTTCAAATTGACGGAGTGCTCGGTCTTGAACTTGATCTCGAGTGTGAAACGGAAAGAAAGACTGAATTCACCACGCCATGCCTTAGGCAGGCCAAAGAATAAGGAAGCTAGCGGCTTCCACAAGAATTGACTGGTCCTCACTTGTCTTACCAAAGTCTCTATTGTTTCTAAAATATATAATAAACTTTGAAAGCTTTATTATAAACAAGTTATAAAAAAGCTAAATTTATATAAAAGAATATAAAGATTTCTCTGTTTTATAGTAATTTGTTTCTTATTTATATAATTTTATATAATTTTATTATCTTCAGGTAAAATATACCTAAAACTGGGAAAATTTTTATCACAGCCAGCGACAGGAGATATAACATAAAAACCGACAAGAGCGATAGCAAGAAAACAGCGAACCTTACTGCGGGATGTCAAAATAAATTTAGCAAAAGTCATCCTAAGCCTAGGCTACCTATATTACCTAAGGCTTTCTATCATTTATGATCGAGGTCCTGTGTTGTCTCCTCCCCTAGATTGCGTGCTTTGGTCGCTGCGCGGTAATACTGGCAGTGCTCGCACAATCAGACAATCAGTATGCAGTGATTTACAGTGGAAGCATGCACATGGAGGAAACCAATCAATTCATCAAAGAGACCTTGACCTTGATCCATCACCGAAAGTGACCCGATCCAGCGATGCAAACAGATGCTGTGTCTCGGGATCAGCTGTTATGGTTGACTTGACGGGGGCTCGTGTATCATTTGTGTGTTAGTTGAGACAGAGTTTGCACCAAGTCAGTGTTGGTTGTCCCATTCTCTTCTCAGTGTTCCAATAAGTGCCTTTGTCTTCCATTTGATCACCTCATCGACCTTCACCAGATACCGTATCGTATGTGTTTGCGCACAAGGATCCCTTATGCAGTATCCACCTACAACAAACTCACATCAGCAATCATCCTCAACGCTAGGACTCTGGGATGAACGTACAGAGCGACAGCATATGTGCTGGTAGATAGAATGCGTTGGCCACATGAGAGTTGGACAGAGCAAGACCCATCAGCATGCAGAGGTGCGAAGATATGTTGTTCTAACAACAAGTCAGCCTCCTCCCAACACAGGCAGTTTGACCTACTTCAAAATCTTGCCTGCTGTAATTGTCTGTTGTATGTTTGCTATCGCGCAAGCACAAAACGGCCTTGGCTGCGTAGTAATGCTGCATTGCCACCACTCGAGCATGTTAGCAAACAATAAAGGCAAAGGTGTTTGAATACTCACCAGGCACCGACGCAGCGAAGCAAATGACTGGAAATGGCCTGTCGCTTGAGATATCCGCCGCTTTGCGAAATATCGGCTTGAATGAAACGGGTCTGGCATCATACCATCCCTCGATCTCCCTCTCAGCCGCTTCCCACTCTCCAAGATCACCAGCCAGGCTCTCCATTGGCAGAAATAGCCTCATCAGCTTTGCAAAGTTATAAACAGCCCTGTTCGCATACGCAGAATCATCAGATCTCCGAAACACCGTTGATCTCTCAAAGTTTTCAAGACATATCTCCAGCGGTTCCCTGCGCACAACATAAACGTAGATAGCTTGCCGAAGATGAACCCAACTCGCCGCTTCAGCTAACCCACCTTGCGTCACAAACCGCGCGATGACCTCGTGGTTCAACAGATTCTGCGTTCCGCTGAGATGATGATAGTAGGAATCCGTCTCATTATCGTTCTCTTCGTACAAGCGCGCGATTACAACAGCTGTGAGGAGCGTTGAGTCCCAGGTCTCGGGCGGTTGAGCGAATGCTTCGATGAGGAGTTTTACACACTTGTTGTGGTAGAATGTGCTTTCGATGTCGTCGGAGCTATTGATGCAGCGAGAGTCGTAGCGGCTTGCGAGCGCGAGGAGGCCATTCATTATCATAGGCTGATGGAGGGCTAGACGGGGAACTTCGAGGGCAAAATGGCGGGCGTCGTCACAAGCGTCGGACTTGAAGGGTTAGTTCTTGACTTGGTTGAGGTGGAGGTTCTTACAAGAGGTGCGAGCTTGTGGATGTATGTCATGAAGAGAAAGGCCTCTCGTTCCGTCAACGCAAAGGGGTCCTGGCTGTGATCTTGGTCGGTCACTTGGGCGACAGCATGGGGCGAAGTCATTTGCGGGTCGAGAATAAATGGGATGGATGCTCGTGGGAGAGATGAAGTCTCTGCTAGATCTGCTTGATATTCTGGTGTCATGTTCTGATCGATAGGAGAGTCGCCGATGAGGTTTGAGGGCGATTCCCAGTAGCTGAACACCTGTTCCAAAGGCCCAGCTTCTGTCTGGGGCTGCATTGGGTCGTCTATCGATATTTCCATCATCCCATCTGATATCGGCTGCGTTGCCGACTCATTCGTCTCTGGTGTTGTGTCCGTTTCCTCAAGCACCTTGCCATCAACCCCGCGGGGCGTCGTGAAAGAAACTACAACAAGTCATTATAACTCTGAGCAAAAGAGGTCATTTGTCGCAACTCACTCTTCTGAGGTACCTTTGCCCACTTCCGTCCAGGTTCCTTCTGCGTTTCTGAATGAGTGTGTTTGAACCGAATGTCATTCTCAAACCGACACTCCTGCCCCGACTCTAGACAAGTGCCGCATTGAGAGGCGCCTGGTTGTGTGACGCATTTTCTGTGTCGGCGGCGACAAGCGGTGCAGCATTTCACTCGCTTCATGGCGTTGACCGTTTCTGGCTGGGATGTTGTAAGAGGTGGAATTGAATCTGGGGTGGACGACATGGGGGTGAGAGATGATGGCGGGGAGGAGCTAAGCCGATGCGCTAAATCCGCTATAGAAATTTGAGTTCGGGCTACTGTGATTGGCTCCTTTTGGTGACTGTAGGGTGATCAGATTCAAGGAGCATTGTGCGCAAATGATCTGATAGCGTAGCGGATGCAGTGGCTGTGACTGCAAATAGTGGTCGCTTGACATCGTCTGATGAGCTTGTAAATCAAGCAACCTTTGAGATTTTCCACCTATCGCTCTGCAAAGCAGTTGTACAATCGAGTGTGAGAGCATCTGTCTTGAAGCGTGCAATTGTACGTCACTGATTGCTGCCCTCATTTAGAATACTTGAGGAAGCGAATATCACCAAAATTATCGCATTGAAATAGCAACCCAGTATAGCAAGCTAATATCGCACATCATGAACCTTTATGCCGCAACTATCAGCCCAGAAAACTCCAAATCTCAGATTCGCCGTATAGCACCCAGTCCTCCCAGCCCATATTCCCAGAGTCTCAGTGTAAATGGCCCAATCCCCCATTGAGGCGTCCATATTTGTGATCACAGCGCCCAAGTTCCATCATTCCATGCATCTCCGTACCAAAACTAACCATTCATGTACCCCAAGCTTCCCACTCGTCGCCGCCGTTCCCTCTCCAATCGATTTTGATCAGCCGCCAAGTTCGACTGAATCTCATCAAGCTGCAAGAGATCATGGTGGCGATCTCCAGTTTCCTCAACTGCAACATAGCCAGGAAGGAGGGGGTTTCGCGAGTCCAAGACAATACCATCCACCAAGACCGGAGACCTCCCTTCAATCATATCGAGGGTTAGGTCTCCGTGCTCTGGAGTCCAGCGACAAGCGATCTCATAGAGGTGCCTGCCTTGAAACTTTGTAATATGTTGGGGATTCTGCATAAGATACTGCGCGACTGCCGAGTAGAAGTGGCCTTCGCGAGCCACAAGTGGATGGTCCTGCTCAGACCAGGTAACGCGAGTTCTGGGGTAGCGATTGCTGTCTTGTCCCAGATAGCGCTTGATCAGCTCAAAACCGCAGATGATACGGTACTCCCCCACAATCAAATCGGGAATGTCTCCCTCTGCCGCGAGGATATCAGCGTACTTTGATGCCATACGCGAATCAGCCCAGCCATCGAAGGACTTCTCGAGGTAGAGAACGTCCCAGTGGACCTCGTGTTCCTGTCCCATTCGCCAGAGACGACCAAAGCCGTGAAGCATGGTAGGCAAGTTGTCTGGATACTCGACGATAATACCGTGATGACAGGCTCCGTGGAGGTTTAGACCGAAACCGCCAAGCTGGAAAGACAGGACTAAGGCCTCGGCTCGGTTCTGAGGATTATTGAACTCCCGAACCATCTTAGCGCGCTGATCAACGGTGTGGCTACTGCGGATGTTCAGAGTCTCGACACAAAGGCTTGTCAGCAGCGCTGTTAAGATCCTATCCAAGGTTAAGTCAGTTGACAACTCAGAATTTCATGATATCGTGAAACTTACATCGAAGTCAAAGGATGGTTGACAAAGATCAGAACTCGCTTTCCCTGTGCTCTGAGCTCCAGAACCCGAGTGATTGTCCAACAAAGCTTGGGACTCCGTGAACAGAACGTCTTTGGGATGTCCCCACGGACCAGAGGGAACTCCATATCATCGCCATAAGCAAGCTGAAGTTGCCCGAAGTACCACTTCAAGCCGCCCACTCCATCTCGCCAAAGAACCTCTTCGACGTTTTCCGAGTCAGCAGCAGCGGTGGGGGCGGCGGTGGGAGCGGCTGCTCCAGGGAGACTAAAGGACTGCAGTCTGTCGAAGTGAGGTGGCTTGTTGAGTAACTTCTGAATGGGCTTGGAATTGAGGAACGTTGTCTTCCCATCCGAGCCTCTCTTCTGGGTGAGAGGCCAGAACTCCACGTTAGTTGTCGACAGAGCCAGCGTTCGTAGGACAGCTGGGTTCACCCACGTGAGTTTAGCCTTGTCGATAGTGCCATGTCCAATGTGCTCATCATCTTCGTTTGAGGCTGAGGTCAGATCTGAATAATGATGCTTGGCAATCTGGTACAGATCCTGCTGGTCGTGGTCATTGTAGGACCGAAGGATCACTGTTCTAATACGCATCTGGGGGATGCCCTCGCCTGGCACAACGGAGGTACCGTTGGGCATGATCGCCGGCGTCAACATTCCGCGACGAAGACAGAACATTTCCAATAGAGGTCGAATTGCCTCTCGCGCGAGCTCAGGTCGCTCGAACTTAATCTCACGAAATTTCTGGAAGAGATCGGGGTTCATCAGAAATAATGGCCCTGTCTTTTCGCGGATATATCTGATGTACTCGTCCCTGATGAGCTCGTTACGAGCGGTTGGCGGATCAAGTTCATGGTCTTGTTGAATGATGTGATCGACGGACAAGTCTCCATACTCTCCCCCTTCTTTGATAGTAGGCCAGGCGTCCTTGTGAAAGTACACCTCAGCATTGATACCACCTTCGGTATCGGCAAAGACAAACGGCCACTGTCGCTTCCACAGCAGTGTGACATATCCCTACATGTCGTCCTGCTGGTTAAGGAGTGGCGTCGCCGAGGTGACAAGCGTCGCCTCATGCTCAAGCTGGTGGATCAGCTTATGCGTCAAGGGACGAGGTCCCCGGATGGGATAGACGTCGTCACAAATAACCCAGTTATAGCTTTGTCCAGTAATTTTGAAGTTAATCTTCTCCTTTGCGGTGGTCTTGCGTCGCTTTTTCCCAGGTCCGACTTGCGCTTGACTGTCTGTTTCATCGTCAGAGTCATCGCTACTAGCCTCGCGATCTTCTCCATTGGTGTCGTTATCTTCGCCGTTGGCCTCTTCATTTTCAGCATTGCCATCACCGTCTCGTCTTCTGGGCCATAACATTCGCCGCATTGCTGTATAGTAGGGGACGATTGCGATGCTTCGAAGGGTCTGGTGAATGCATGTTAGTAAACAAATATCAGAGTCTGGAAACAATCACTTACCTCAATGTCTTCATGCGACGCAGCATTCTCATTGACCCAGTCTTGCAGACCATTCTTGTGAGGCATGATGTGCATTCTGGTGAAGTAGTCACGCGTGAGAAACTTGTACGATGGCAAATCCGGATTTTGAAGAAATTGGGAAACCAGCGAGACCAATCTTTGAAGGTTTGGTACGCGAGGTCGGCAGGACACAAGATGATACTAGGCTTGAACCTTCTGTTCTCATCCAGAGGCCTAAAAGTTCCAGCCTCCACTTCTGCTTTGATGCGGTGGTAATGAATGGCCAGTGCAAGACCAATTTGCAGTGTCTTTCCCGTTCCACACTCATCTGCCAAGAGTGCAGCGCGAAGGGGCGATTCCAGAGCACTTGAGAGACAGTTTGCACCTGTAACAGTAAATATTAGCAATTAACCTCCAACCTCGGGATTGAAGTAGGCTGAAACTTACCAGCAAGTTGATGGGGCCTGGCTAAAAGCCCATGGTCCATGACTCCAGGAATTTGGATGCCTTCGCCCCAATTAATTCCATTGGTTTCAATACCCATCATGCTGCAAATCTCTTCCAAGTCTTGTTGCTCAGGTTCCATTGGCTTCAAGAGTTGGGTGTGGACTCCAGTGGCAACATGATTGCCAGGCTTGACGTTGGCATGGATTGCGAGCCATTCCTTAAGATCCTGCATCGTATCGGGGGAAATGGGCGGGAACCCATATGGAAGACGAATTGCGGGAGCATCTTCTGTGTTGTTCTCGGGGGGCTCGATGACCTCCTGGACTTCTTCAGCTTCGTCGGCGATGTCGGCTCCAGGTTCCTCATTCTCGTTGTCCAGCTGATGGTCCTCATCGCTAGATTCGGCGGAATCCCCACCTGTCTTCGCACGCTTTGAAGGCTCATCGTTGGTCGGGGATGGGCTACGCTTTTGGCCGGTTGAGGTTGACGAAGCGATTGGGATCAAAATAGCATCCGAGAGCATTGATTCTGGACTCAAAGGAGCCTCGGGCTGGTGTGTGATAGAATCAGAGTCCATGATGAAGAATTCGTACGTTTCTTGAACAGTCTAGCGAAACGATTGCCGAAAACAGAGAAGAGCACGATGGCTTCGACCGTAAGATGAGATATGAAAGACCTAAGTTCGCTGACAGGGGAGATTTGGTGGATTGAAGTGAAATGGCGGAACAGACGATTGAGTTTATCGTCCTGCGAAACTGTGACTGGGAGTTGGTTTTATTGCACTGGGACGCTGGTCGAAGGGTTAAATCGTAAGATAATGCGCGAAATTGTAGGAATGAAGGTCGAAAACTTGTGATAATAACGAAAGAACTGGCTACAAGGGCGTGGATTGAGAGTCACTCGCTATGAACAAAGTGGGATGAGATGGAAGAATGCGAGGCCACCTTACCGAATCGAATGCAAGGCGCAAAACGAGGTAAATAGGGCTGTCGAAGGATGCTAGGTTGTGGATCGTGCAGACGACGATGGACAGCCCCCAAAGGCAATAACAGGAAGGTGTTGACCGCCTTGACAAGCCCCTTTCAACGTCAAAGGCGACTGGATTGAATGAACTAAAATCAATTAAGGGTACTTGCTCGGTTGTGCACCGTGCCGAAAACAAATGCAAGTGTGTTTTGAGTAGGAATAAGGTAAGTGATGAATGAAGTTGAAGAAAAGGGGGAATTATGCTGAGTTGGCTAGATGCGCCCGATGCGACTGAGATGAAAGTGGTAAATTGATTGAGTAAAGTGCAATGCAGCTTGTGAGGTTGACCCAGCCAACCGATTGTAGATGAAAAGGGAAGTGAAGAAGAAAAGGGGTTGCGGTTGAAGAGATCTCTTTTATAGGCGGAGGGTGGTCACGTGATGTGATTCACACTGATCAAGGTGAAGAGCTTCGGTAAGAGAAGGTCAGTGTGAAAGGTGAGGATGAAGGCACCGCTACCGGGCCTACCTTTGGCCGAGAGATTGGAGGCTGGATAGTCGAGGGCAGAGGTCCCCTATATTGTAGTCTGTGGCTAACCCACAGGGTCATGAGTTCGAGACCTCATGCATTCCCCTGTTTCTCGTAGCTTGCCTTAGGTTCCTCGCACGCTGGTGCCAAATCCGACAATGTCGGCCATCCACAATATCATGTAACGGGGGGGGTATTATTAGAGATTTCATTGCCTGCCTTCCTATCAGGCTTTGGCAAAGATGCTTGCAGTGGACCTAATCCAAGCTGGAGTGACTCTGTGAGTTAAGATACATCAGCCCTTAGTCAAGGCACATTAAACAATGTATCTCGGTATTGTGAAAGTTGGAGGGAATGTGCTAACCCTAAAAGGAACGTTGCTTTCGCTTTCAACTTAGCAGGGTGCATAACTTCGAGCCATTGTCATGCCCTGACAGTAGAGATTAACAGTACCACTGCCGAATGCAGCATATTCTCGATCATCGAGAATACCCAGATAACCTATGCAAGCTCCAAATATCCACATGAATGTTCACAGTTATAATCTCGCTACAGGAACTGTTAGAAAAGGGTCAAGGTAGGGCAAATCAGAGTCACTCCGTCCATGAGCGACAAGAAGCCTATTTTCGATGATCTCAGACTCATTCCACACTCAGGGTCAACATTTCATTTTGGCATCTGTCAAGTGTAAGGTCAATTATGCATACCAGAGTTTGCTCCTATATTGACGGAAGCCTACTAAAATGGTTCTTGATTCCAACTTCCTATACCGACAACATCATAGCATACTTTCCAGAAAGCGTCCTTGTTCGAGAAGATAGCTCTTTGATATGAGTGATTGAGATATGTCACTGATGTTTCATGGACTTGGTTGGTTTAATGAGTCATATCGCCGAGGAAGGTAATAGGCCGAACACTCTGTAGCCTCTGGTACTCCCAGGAGGTAACAAAGAAGAATTGCACGGTCACCGTGGGACACTGCGGTCCATGGATGACGAGTTCTAGTCGTTCAGCGGATCTGACACGCGACTGATTCCTCACAAGTCCCCTAATCTGAGCGTATTTCACAGTGTTATCATGACTGGTGTCAGATAAAACCAACGAATTTGACAGAGCTAAGGAGTATTCAACCAGTTCTCAATATCAGATATAAATAAACAAAATAGTTGCTCTTGCTCTCCATATATCCATCATTCGGATCCGATATGCTGCAGCCCATCATCGACGACCGAGAGCATATGCCGATTTCAACATTATCTAGCTGGTCCATATGACGATTAAGCTAGAAACTGCTAACAGGAACTGGGTGCTATACGCATCCGAGTGGACACTGCCACTGGCAAACCCAAACGTACGCCTGGTACTAGAGCCTAAGGCTCAAAGCATGGGAGCTATACGGAACACCCCTCTTGAACTCTCAGTTCCACTGAACAAGGGCATTCAAAGTCTTGAACAAGCCATTTCGGACAAAGAACAAAGCTCACAAAGGTACCAGTGCCATATAGCCTACAAACAAGTCTGACTAGTTGATGTAACTAACATTCCTATCAAGCAGAGCTCACAACGTAACTTCTCTCTTCATCCCCAAGTCCTGAATCTGACTCCCCTCGATCCGACGCAACCCAACACAACAAAACTCATCTCAACTCAAACTCACTCAACTTGGCACTCAAGACAACAACAACAACAACGACTAAATCGCGACAATTTCAGGCAAGCGAAAATGCCTTGTCCTACTAAAGAATGTCCAACGCCCTCAGGCAACAACCCGCAAGCGATGTCCTCCGAAATCCTCGACGAAGTCAACGAGCGCCTTATCGAATGGCTCAAGCAAGAAGCAACAACGTTCGACGATGAATCATCCGAAGATGAAACGTCCTCTGACGAAGAAGAACCTGAAAAGAAGTCATCTAGACCTTTTGGAAGTTTGGCTCTCCGCCTGAAGAAATGGTTCACGGGCCATCACCATCAAGAGAAGTAAAGGTTTCGAGGCCTTATGGTGAGCAAATCATAATACTGCGAGGGAATTATCGACTTACGCTTTTTTCCTAGATCTTTGAGTAAGTGAAAGCGAAGATCTGAAGATGTTACGTGCAAACGTCAGCGCAAGCACATCCCCTATTGTCGAGACGACTCCATCAGCAGTACTATCGGCTTCTTCCCCTTGACCAAAATTTGTTCTTTTTCTCTCTTCTGATACCCCTGATGCGCGGCTACATTTTGATTTTTTGGCCTTCCCGTTCTGTTTTTCTTTTGTGGTTTTGTGGTCTCCGAGGGGTTTACTTTGTCCTGGACAAGGGATAAGCTGAGTCTAGATGTACATGGCAGAGAAATGACTGGCGCATCGATGTTAATTAGGTTTATTAATGTTAACGTAGCATCTTTCCATGAGTCGTATTCCAAAACTAAGCTATTGTGAAATCGTCATTGTTCTTCTAACATCAGAACCCTGATATGAGACTCAGCACCTCCGTAATGTACCACGACGCTTCGGTTCAGCCTGATCGCCTTGATACCATGTTTCAGTCCGAGCTGGAGCAGTAGCTGTGGAAACACGGCGACTTGGCATCGAGGACACAAGCGTTGCATGTGAACCAGATCCGCTCGCCGAAGGACCCCAAGAACCACTCGAAGACCGAACAGCAACTGAATGGCTTCGATCTAGCGACGGCGGATAAGAGCTGCTCCACTGTGTGTTTGAGGTCTCGGGCAAAGTCAGCAGTGGTCGACTACTTGGTGATCTGACACTTTGAGAGTTCCGATCCCGCTGTGATATTCGCCGCTGCGGAAGTGTCGGTGATATATCCAGCAGAGGAGGTGGTGTAACACCAGACTGAGCGCAATAGATCGAGTCGGTTCTAACGGATGAGACACTCGGCGTTCGTCTTGGACCGCAACGGTTCGAGGAGCTTGCTGTTGATTCTGATCCATACAATCCGCCTGGAGCTCTCGCCCTATCGTATGAAGGGCGGTACCCTCTGCTTTCGAAATCAGCGAGAGATCCCAAAAGACCTCTTGTGAATGGGCTGTCGTTGGGATTGTTTATCCGTGATCTCGCCTCCATCTGCTGTTTAAGCAAATCGTATTGCTCCCCGAGCAAACCCGTAGGACTGAACGGCTCGGAGAGCGACTCCCGTTCATTCTCTTCATAGGGATTTTGCGAAGAGGAATTGGTTCGATGCAGCGAAGTGAAGCGACCGTAGGTGTCATGGCGGCTGCTTGCCATCTTGAAGAAGTTGGGGTGGAACGATGAATGCAAGAATGGTCATAGGGCTTTACAATGAAAGTTGTAAGATGAGGCTACTGATCATTTCTCTATAGGTCGGGGAATCAACATATTATGTTGCCAGTCCAAATACCGATTATCCTGATAATCCGTGATATCAAGCCTTGTGCTGCATTCTCACCGACTATACATTCCTTCACGGCGCATGCAGCATAGCCACTGGAAAAGGTATGCCAAAGTAAGCCAAAATCCCCAAATCTTCTCTCAAGCTGGTTTAGTAGATGTGATAGCACCGACCGCGTGAGCCTAGGCGTCCAATAAGAAGCTGTGACGCTCAACTGCAACCCTGGCCCTCTTCGGTCAAAATTGGCCGTGTCCACCACCAAATTATCAGCACAGCCCCGATCTTCAACGAGGCTGCGCCACCACATTCCATTGGAACCATCATGAATGTAATCGTCATACAGTGAATTAGATTGCTCTGAATGGCTTCCCGCAATCTTGTGAATGCCTTATTGGCCGGTTGTGTTCTCAAATTTTAGTATAGATATCGCTTCGGCTTTTCGATATGTGCCGAATTGAGGTAGCAGAGTGGCAGTGCAAATCGAAACAAGAAACTAAAGAATTATATATTAATATTAAGAGTTATTCCGACTTTCGTCCCTTCAATACTTGCAGTTCCACTGACATCTGATTTTGCCCACCTTCTTCTCCTAGGTTCGCTGCAGGCCCCTCCTCGGCAACCATTCTCTTCCTCTTCCTCCTGCGATGTATACAACATCCGATACAAGCTATGATCCCCAGCCCAATCACTATCCCAAACCCAATTCCTACCCAGGCAAGTTTCTCTAGTCCTACCAGACTAGAATCGTTTGGTGACGGGGGAGCTGGAGTAACTGTTTGTTCAGGTCGTGGCCAAGGCCCGCCAGTATACGGATCATCACAGTCAGGAACGCACGTGGTTCCGCCTGAGTTGATCTGATAAGATATGGTGACTGCTGATGCTAGAAGCAAGTCTTTTCCTGGATCGAACTTTATTGCTGTTGAGACTCGGATATCTGTCTGTAAAGAGCTCTCTGATGAGAGTTCAAACGCTGTTAGAGTCAAGGGCGAAGTGCCTGATGGTTTAAGAGTGGATGCAACGCAGAATCTGTCGTATGGTGTTGCTGAACTGCCACTTTGATCTGTTAAAGTCGGTCTTCTCCATTCAAAGTCATATGCTCTGCGAACCAGTCAACTTTCTGCACGGACAAAATCTCGACAGTATACGGACGCTAGGCAACACAATATCTCCCGCGAAGTGGTCGCATCAGGCGTGTAGTCGACAGTATGAGCAGGTGTAAATCCAACAGGACACTACGTTGCTGGATGGCTCCAGCCTGGACCACAAAAGCCATTCAATCCATGGCCAAGACCGCCGGTAGTGTGAGGATAATCAGTATATCCCAGCCAGAGGTAATCACACGTCCGCGTCGTTCTGTAAAGCCCTTGCGCTGTGCCAGAGTAGCAATCCGTATCCAATTTCCATACGCTCTTCGTATCAAGACATTCTGGAGGCGGTGTGAAACGCGGTAAAGTCCATGTCGGATTTGGAGTAGTCGGAAAGGTCGTTATAACGGTTTCTGTCATTTTCGTATAAATCCCATGTCTGGGACATGCAACTTGCAGAAAGAAATGACGGGCTTCAGGCTTGTTATATGTCCATGGTTTGAGAATCAGCCTAATGGTAGGCTGACAGTGTTGTAGGGATGTCGTGCCGCTATCCTGCATGGAGGATTCAAGGCTGTGCTGCGGTTGAGTCACCACCGTTCTCACACTCACAAAACATCGCACAGGAATTGGTCACTCATCACGCGAGTGGGTACCGTAAATAAGAAGATACGAGATTTTGTCCAAGTCAACGGAATTGCCTGCGCAAGTACAAATCCATCGTATTTCTTCTCAGCAGCCTAGAAAGTTCAGCGCTTCCCTTGGCATCCATCGATATTGACGCCCATATGATAATGAATCGCCATAGAGAGGAGTACATCCGACGTCATGCCTTTCACCAACCTATACTTACCCTATCCCTCCACAGTCGCCCGCATGTGCTGCTTCCATGCCTTGGTTGTAGATTTGGTAAAGGTCGCGAAGGAGAGCTGGGCGCTTGGTGCCCAAGGGATTGGGTACTTTTGAGGGCGCATGAATCTCTCTCTTAACGGGATCTCTAGTCATGCTTCGGATCTTGTTCCACCAGAAGCCATGGACCTCGTTATTGGCATCAAGATTCGCCAAGAGGTCTCCATACGCATCGGTCCAGGAGTAAAACCCACCCTTATCTCACTTATCTTAGAAGAATGCTCTCCTCTCTTCCGCATTTTGATCAAATGTACACAGGTCAGATGGGCTAAAGTCATATTCTCCTTTGCTGAGAGGCCTCAACTGATACCTGTTGGAACACGGATTCTTTTCGACGTGTTCTTCCTCCTTGGTGAGCTGGGCTTGATTCAGCGGCAGAGCCAGATTCGGAGTGCGCTGGAAGAGAACCCGTAACTTGATCTGAGGTCCGATATCGTATTGCAGCAGGTACTAAGAGCTTTCTTGTTCGCTTGAAGTCTCTAACCCGATGTCAGCACTGAATTGAGTCGTTTACCCCTGCCATGAACAATAAAATGAAACTGATCGTTCGGTCCTTGCCGAACACAAACACAAGTTGGAGCTAGAAGTGTTATTTGCCGCTGAGACATATGGCTGAGAGCTTAAACCAGCCAAGAGAACTTAGTTAATTCTTGGCGTCTTCCTTTCCCCTCTGTTCAAGTTGTAAGGCTGCGCGGTACCCTCATGTTCTTTGGATAGATAGGGCGACCTGTAACTAGGAGCTTAGAATCACTCATGCAGGACTTGGTCTAGACAGTTGGAGAAATTGCTGGGATTCTGAATGTAGAAGGCACGAATGGATGGAATTCTTATTAGCTACTAGAGCGTAGTCTAGGTCACAGGTAAAGTGCTCAGCTGAGTTAAGAGGATATGGGTTAGGGGAAACAGGTCTTCACTATCTTCTCTATCAGGGCTACATTTTCTCACAGTCGATGTCCTGGAAGAGTCCCCCAAAATCCACTCATCCACGCCTGTTCCCGGGTCGTCTTTCACTACGCAACGCTGCTTCGACAGCTTGCATTTAAAGACCTTCGTCTCATCATCGTCCCGTCCCTAGACATGTTCCATCTGGAAAGCATAGTTTCCGCCGGCCAGGTTGAGGTCGTTGTCATCTTCGATGCTGACAGCGCCACGAACACGAGAAAGCATGTCGCGTACCATCTTCCACGTCGTGGAGATCTGTTCAACGGACGCAGGATCCCCGATCTCAGCCTCACGAACGTCCTCCCAGTGGTGGTGCGGTCGTTGGGTCGGCGCAAGGTCTTTCTCGGATCGGATTACCCAGACCCGTGCCACAAAGCCTGGGTGACAGGTATGGTAACCTCGCTCCTCGATGGAGAAGTAATTCCCGATAAGCGGCTCTACCTCCCACCACGATAGGGGGCTGAATTCCACTTTCTTTTCAGCCAGCCAAAGTCGAAATCCTGCCCAATGACCTCCAAGGGAGACATTGCCGCGGCTGTAGCCGTAGTACCCAATATTGGGCAATGAGAATCGGAAATCGGTAGGAGGATACTGCGAGGCGTCTTCGGGACTACTCAAGTAGTCCCATCCATTCTGGAAGTTCCATTGTGTCCGTGTGTCTGCTTGTATTCCCCGGCTCAGGAAATGGTTCTGAGCTTCAAAAGAGTGATCGCCGGCGCGCCGCATGCCCCAGTCATTGCCGTGGAATCGAGGACCGACGACATCTGGCCCAAACATCTGGAAGCCTTCGATATCCCATTCTCGGCCTGCGTTCTCGATGATGATGGACAGGTTCTTCGCCTTGGGGAGGCGAGAGAAGATCGGTAGGTTTTTCTCCAGCGGCATGTCATAGTAAGTAGCAGGAGGGGGGGCATCGGATGGCCCGGCCTCATTGGATCCGTGCCCCGAACCATCGCTCTCGTCATCTTCAGGAGCTAGATCTGTTAGCAAAAGATATCCCATGTCAAAGTTTATGGGGCATACTTACGAGCTTGACCCCGGGGGAGCCAAACAGTGCGAGACACACTGACAACGTTTTCAATCGGCAAGGCGTGACGATGGTAGGCCGGGGTCGATTGAGGGTCCCAAGCTGCGGAGGGACGGACAGCAGGGAGGCGCATATCAACCGCCTGGAACGCATCGTGGATGGGGTCCATTCGGAAAGGAACCCCCCCAATGCTCGACATGATTAGGGTTCCGTTGTCGCGTATGGCTTCCAAGCACCGGATTTGATTGGAAAGCGAGGCGATTTCGCCGGTGGACTCCTGCAGAGCCTTGAAGGCTTGTTCTTCGTGGTGGTCATGGACCCGTGCGATGTTGCTATGCAAGTAACGAAAAGGCACTGTCACGCATGGGAGTGCGTGCAAGACAATCTTCTTGCGCATCTCCGTTGGGAGGTCGTTGAAGGGGAAGGATGGCATTCTGCTGTTTGACAGTCAGTACAGCTGTAGAAAATGCAAAATGGGTGATGTGTCCTCACGTAGACGTGGTTGACTTGAGTTGACGTGAGTGATGGGTCTCGTTCTCAGTATCAGAAGTGACTGTCCTGGGAGAATGGTCGGTGTTGTGATAGAAGGTAAGTTGTGAAGAGGGATGGAAGATTTGTTGATGGTTTGGAAGATAGATGGGAGGGAGTTTGAGAGTTGGATGGAAGAAAGGTTGAGAGAGGTTGAGAGTTGAGGTTGGAAGATGGATGAAAGATCAAGGTAGGAAAAGGTGTGGTCGCTGAGGTAAACGGCCGTTGTGGGGAGTGAGCATTAGCCGTCACTGCCACTGGCCCAACGGAGGTGGACGATAGGGACCACTGGATCGCCAGTGCCAACCCCAAACCAAGAAGCCAACGAGCAGGCTTACTCTCAACCAGTGAACAATGCACGCCGTGAACGCGACCGAGGTTTATGCTCCAGTGCTCAGCATGAGGCAAACACCGTTTTGTTCATGTGTCCATACCAACGGTCGACAGCCGCGACGCGGTTACCAGTGGAGAGCTAGGTCACTGAGCTGTTCCCATGGCTGACTGGCGGGCTTAACGCGTAACTTCGCGGCGTTTGCAGTGGACGCGTTCCTAGGTGGCACACTTGGACAGTCAGCTCGCAGTAAGGTAACTCGTCTGCAGTGGTAGGTAATATGCTCTACGCCATTTCTGTCTCCATCCCACTTCCCGTGTTGGCTCAATGTGTCTGGTTGAGGTTTTAGTCATCGATCCATCACAAGTGTCGTCTGACCATTCACTCTACTCTTCGATGACCCCGACGAGCTCGAAAGAGATAACATCCTGTCAATTCCATACTCTTGTGTTCTCTTGTACTTACGCAACAATGGCCTTGGGGCTACTCTCACCCTTGACATCATTGCATTGATGCAGCAATGTCCCACTCGCAAGTCTGTGGCACCTTACCCTTCACTTCCCAAGCCCTTGCCTCTTCTTTTTGAGCTAAAGGGTATCTTTCAGATAACCCTACATGGAGTAACTCAATGGCTGACTTTATCTACACAGATATGACGGTCTGTTTCCCTCTGACCCATCTCTATCTACTCAGACACAACCGTTGATCCCTATGCCTCTTAGAATAAGAAGTCCAATCGATTCTCGACCGTCGTATGCAACCCCATTCAACCGCCCTTCAGTGAAGAAGCCGAGACAAGGCTGGATATCTCAGACAATGACAGTATCAACTCATTGAATCCAACCATGACAGGGTCCTTCTTGGGCTTACAGTTAACACCGAAAGCGAAGCTAGCCCGAGTGGCCTTAGAGTCTCCGAACCTGGCCTCGATACACAAGGGGATTATCCCAATACTAGACACTTAGCCCCATCATCCAAACTTCGATTTCATATGTTACAGATCAAGGGCGCCTATGACATCTATCCGAACGTAACAGGAGCGATCGTTGCTAAAGGCTTCGATACAGCAAAGGCGTGCACTTGGTGCCCACGCAACTTCACTCCACGAAAGACTCGAGAATCCTTCAGATGTGAGCCAAGGTAGCCGAAAGCTATATCTATACCCTCCACAACTGGCATAAACTTTCAACGAATCCGCCAAGGTCGGAAAGGATTCCGATGTCAATTGGACTTTATCACGTCACATGCCGAGTTCAATTGCTTCCATGGCTCTACATGCAATGTCGAGTGGCCACAATTCCATCCTATCCCGAATAACAAACATTTACTTGCTTAGGTGACCAATTTCGACAAAATAGACAAAGCTGACCCAGACTATGGCGCAAGGAGCTCAGGCTTGTCAAGATTTATCACCAAGACAAAAATCTGTCTACGACGCCCCACGTCTGCAACTCCGATGTCAAACAATACAGCGGACATTACGCTCACTTGATCTGGGACGGGCCGTTTCCATACCGTAAAAGTCCTTTGCCAGCTTCCTTGAACCCGTAACCTGCATATCCAGTGGCGGTGGTATAAGAATCGACGTTAGTTCGCTTGGATCCTGTTCACAAAAAGCGTCGTGGCAATTCCTTGATGCAGCGTGTTCCCTGCTTGTGATGGCATGCCGAGCGGCGAGATAGCAATAACTCTATTGTTATTCTCATTGATTGCCCGCGGGCAAGGTGTCTAACATGGCAAGACGTTGTTTAGAGCATGGTTTATTTAGGTGGGTTGTCTCTTTGAACAGTTATTCCTCGTTTTCATACAGATGTATCAAAGCAGCATAAACGTATCATATCGGACTTCCTCATCATCAATAAATGGCAATGCAAAGTAAACACCTCTTTCCCGGGTGTTTCATTACATCTTAATCAATTCGTTTTGAGTTTTCAGTTTGTGATTCCATCATTCCCCCTTACCCTAAACATTGACAAAAGACAGACCTCAACAAATGACACAATTCTGTCGGTGACTGGGTAAATCGAATCCCTGGAAGACCCTCGAAATATCTCGCTGATCTTAACGAATTGCAAGGTTAAAAGACCCTTTAGCTGGAGTCTGTGGATGCGATTGGGTCACTAACCGCTGTCAATTGTCATTGCGTGTGACACCGATACTGATCCCCGGGTCTTGACGTGACGATCGCAATATCACGATGTAACTTGAAACGTTAGTAACCCAGCGAATAATAATTCATCGTCATACATTGATTCCTAGCATTCCTCTATTGATTGTTCTCAAAGTCATCGAGTCAGAAAGACCTCGAATGACGCTATACACCTGTAGTCGCGTTTCATCATATCCGGAAACAGACATGTTTGTTATTCCCTTGTCCCGTCGCTAACCATACTCAAAGCATCGCAGCAGCTTAACTTTCCCTCCTCCACAATGACCGCATTCCAGTCCAACACGCTAAAGTCAAGACCAAAGAACAATTCCAAACTCCACGGGCCGATCCCCAGGAGTAAAATCCCCGAACCCTTTTCCCTTCTACGCTCCAGAAACCCTCTTCTGCGCTAGTCCCCCCAACTTCTCAGCAGCAGCCCCCAGACTCCGCGGGTCAGCGCCCTTGATCTCAACCTGCCCGTTGACAGCGACCTGCTTGCCCTCCTTGAAGAAGAGGAACGTCGGCATAGCTGTGATGCCGTACTGGCGCGCGGCGTCTTGCACGTGGTCCACGTTGACTTTTGCAAAGGCGAGGACGTTGTCGACGCTGTGCTTGGTGGCGAGTTGCTCGTAGACGGGGGCGATGGCTTTGCAGGGCGGACACCAGTCTGCGAAGAAGTCGACGGCGACGTATGTTGTTGACGAGAGCAGCTTTTGAAGCTCGTCGTTTGAAGTGATGTGATGCACCATATTTTGTGTTTTTTTGCTGGTATTGATCTACGGAGATCGGCAGTGAGTTTTAAGATGCGGTGAGATGAGACTCGATTTAGTTTCGGCAGTTGAAGTGAGTAATCTTGGCGTTGTTGAGGCTGCGATGTGTTTATATCGTTATTTTTCTCTTTGCCTCCGCTTTCTCATGGATCTCGAGAGAATCACAGAGAGCCGCTTTGAAATGGGAATTACATCACGTGATGTTGCGCAATTTGGTGATTCCTCATCAAGGTTGATTACTGAGCCACGTGTAAGCCACAGAAGATTATGTCATGATTTGAGGCTGAAGAGCCTTGACAAATTAAGATCAACGAAACGTTTTAGCGAGACAGAAAAATAACTCAAATGCAAATCATCAAGGTTCCGTCCCTGACTTTGTAACATCTGACAAATGACCCCATCCCAACCACGGATATAAGAGACGTTGATTATACGTTGCAGCTGACATTTTGCGTTTGACTGGGTTTCTACCGCGCCGCTTATTATTCTAGAAGGAAATGATATTAGGCATTGCTTTTTTGGTGTCTTGCATACCATGCCCCAGACTCAAAACTACCCTGCAACGATCATGGGCTACTGTACGTAATATCAATCAGCAATCGTCGCATAACATGTTACATGTTACCAGTCTCGGCCCTTGGTCAATTATCACCTCCCTCTTAAGGCTGCCTCCCGCAGTGGAGAGAGAGCAATGTTATACGGGGGCCATTCGCTAAAGTAAATCCGGAATCATCTCCGGAGGCCGAATCACCTTATAACCCACCATAAGGGTACAGTACACAGCTCCATTGCTTGGCTATCGCGGAGACCATGAATCCTGCCCCGGATGGAATAAGCACAAGCTATGGAGAGAGGGTGATTAATGCAATAGTTCAGGGGAATAATATCGGGGAACTTGAAAAGATTGGTCGGTTATCGTTTACCGATACCCACGTGTTAAAAAGCCAAGACTGCAGCCGAGAAGCAAGTCTAGGAGATAAAGAGCAGGTGACAATGACCAGAATCGATAGCTAAGAAAAAGAGGCTTGCATAGAAGCGAACGCTTTGATGCAAAGGAAGCTGAATCGAAAAAAAGAGACATGTCACTCTTGAAATAAAAAGAAACGAGCGTGATAAAAGCCTCCCGCGAGTCACGTAATTCGAGATGCCTTATTCGGTAAGTGGGGAAGGGGAGGCATCTGTGCTCCTCTTTGACAGGACTAAAAGCAGTAATTAACGCGGCCATCAATTGTGTGCTAATCTTGGGTGCCCGGATAACTCGGTCTCAACTTCAAGATAAGCGCAAACATTGACAAGAGGGAGGGGAGCTGAGACACTTCTGTTACTGACGATCCGGCTCAATCTTCCCTTGGCCTCTTGGGGGGGAGGGCTTCATGGAGTGATCACCGAGTCAAGTCCCCTGGTGCCCACGCGATCGGTCGCTTGGCGCAGGAAACTAGCAAAGTCTATTGGCGACCATGAGTCCACTGTAAATCAGCGTCTAACTTATTCGGGGGGATAGAAAACAGGGTCGGCGGGCATGATCCGTTGAACGAGGCACCCGAGGAATGGATATGGGAAGACGTTACGCGAAGGCTGGTGCGCCACTGTCGCAGTTCAGTGTTAGTTCGCCACCGAAGGAGAAAAAAGAGCGCTTCCATCCTTCCAGGGCTTCGTTCAGGGCAGGGTACAGTAGTGTTCTAGACGGAACATGATCTACTGGCTCAGCTTGTGTCAAGGATGTCGGTCAGTCACCCATGGCTGCATCACAAATGGCCTGCAAAACGTGGCAAAACTGCATTGCCATTCCTTCGATCGTGCAGCGAACTGAGACAAGGATGATGAACGAATCAGATCCTCATCCCAGCTAATGTGCACCTCTTCTCCAACCGACGACACCCGCGCCTTTTCCTTCGGTGCTTTGAAGAAGCAGTGGCGTAAAAACGGGACTAATGTCAGCTCTAGACCCAAGCTAAAGAAAACTGGTTTATCCTCCCCCCCGATCCCCTGAGACGGTTTTCATTCCCAAATCTCGAAAAACTCCACCTTCGGAGGAAATAATAAAATACTAAACCCAAGCTCTTGGTTTCCATTTCCCCTCCCCTTTAACCCACCCCCGCGTTGCTTGTTGTCTTTCTTTTATTCCCAGTGTCGTTTTTTTGGTGTCGTCGTTGTTGTTGCAGAGTAAACTCAAGTCATGCGCCGTTGCATCCTCGACAGCCCTTCCACGTCGAATTAGACACTGCACCCGCCGGCGAGATCACCCGTCGTCGATCGATCCCCACGAAAAGCCGATTTGTACACGAATTTAATTACGTGCGACCGACAACATGACGGCGTTTGAGGCTGAGATATGGACTTGGTACAGTCTATCGTGGATAATTGTCATTGCGAGAATGTAAGACATTTACGTTTCCACGAAGGATCATTTGGGTTTGACGCTGACCCTGGTATAGGATATCACGACGGATGTTACTGGGTTCAATCAAGAAGCTACAAGTCGAGGATTACCTGATGATAGTAGCAATGGTGCGTCATCATCACCACCAACAATCCACGATGCAATTGTCTAATTGTTTTTGTTACAGTTTACCGATACCGTGTTGATGGTCGGAATGTCGATTATTTCGCAAACGAGCAGTAACCTCATCGATCCCAGCCAGCACGTTGTCCTCGATGCCGAAGAGATTAGAACGAGAGAATACGGATCGAAATGGGTCTTGGTCGTCGAACAGATGCAGATTGTCACCATTTGGCTCATGAAGTACTGCTTGTTGCTCATGTACAACCGCCTCACGTACGTCGCTTTGCCCCGATTCTCAATCACGATTCTAACAGTCGCAGGATGAGTTTGAGTCAGAACCTCGCTGTCAAGTTTGTCGCCGCATATGTCACTGCCGGTTTCGTCATCATGGAGATCTTGTACCTTGGTGTTTGGTGTCGTCCATTTAACCAGTACTGGGCTGTTCCCCCAAAGAACAGTATGTTACATCGATGCTCAATTGAGCCAAGCTAACCGTTACAGCTCAATGTTCTGCTGCGACGAACCATCTCATCACCAACGCCGTCATCAACATTACATCCGACATTATGATCATTCTCATCCCAATGCCAATTTTCCTCAAGTCCCAGCTGCCATTGAAGCGCAAGGCTGTCCTCATCGGCGTCTTTGCATTGGGTGCCTTCACTGTAAGCTCCAGCCTCACATCAACCCACCTGAAACCCAAACTTACACCACACAGATCCTCTCCGCCATCCTCAACAAGTTCTACAGTTTCAACGAACCCTTCGGCTCGAACTGGACATTCTGGTACATCCGCGAGTCTTCCACCGCCATCATCACCGCCAACCTTCCCTACATCTGGACCCTCCTCCGCCGCATCTTCAAGCTCGGCTCGTTCAGCGGCTCGACGTACGGAAAGAGCACAAACAACCCCTCCAAAGCATATCGCTCAAACTTCACAAACCATCGCTCCGTCGTGCGTTCCCAGGTCCGCGCGGACCATAACTTGCATCAGGTCGACAGCGAAGAAGAGATCAACACTACTTACGCTCTACCGCTCAAGATCTACGCTAAGCACGAGATTCAAATCACGAGCGAAGATGCTGGTCCTGAGGATAGGAGGGGACCCGTGGGGTGCATCCCTGATGAGTTGATGAGCCATAGCAAGGATAGCATACGGACCGACGATGTAGAGACCAACTCTGAAAGATCGGCTGCCGGTGTTGTCAAGGTCTATCACGGCGTATAGATTTGATGGGCGACCATCTTGTGTCATTTTTGTTATTTAATGTTTGATGATTTGGGTAACGCCTGGATCTGAATACCCAGCGATGTATAATTTGCCCGTATAGATAGAATCGTGCCTATAGCACCAGAAGCGATATCAACAAGCTTTCCTCACAAGTAACTATTCTTTTTCCTCCCAAGCTTCACTTGAGTCAATGCACGTCTGAGGGGTTCTCATGCTAAGCCTAAGCAGCCTGTCTTGGGCTTAGCCTACCGCTCTTGTCGTATGACATCTTTGACGTGCCAAGGCCAGACGAGTCAGGCCCCCCAAACTAAACTTACACCAACAAAGAATGGCTTCGAACGAGTTATCAATGCGTTGATTCCGCACTCCTCAAACGGGTAAGCTTTGATGTCCGCATCCCCGGCACAATTCCGTTGATCGGCGTGCTCTTGGTGGATGAATACAACCGCTTCAGAACGCCAGGGTTGTCCGCGACTATCTGTATCTGTGGGGTTTGCGAGTGGCTAGTTGAGATTGGGATGACATCTTGCGGATCCGGATGGAAAGGGGCTCTTGGAGTGTCGGAGTTAGTCTGATTTCGGACTGACAGGTTGTCGGCCCGGGAGTAGTTCAGATAACTGTCCGTGACCACGTGCTATTGATTGATAGCGGTTGTTGTCTGACTCGAGCGATAGGCTGTCGGTTTTAGATCTGTTCGCCGCTACTGCTTTCATGTGATGGCCTCGCTGGGTGGCCGCTCGATAAGAATACTCTCGGATATTGTCGTCGCTAGACGTGAATTTTAGATTGACTGAACCTTAGCAAGCAAGAGGTGCACTCTCCTGATTAACACGTACTGAAAGCTTACTGAGAATCCCGGACGCGGGCTGTTTCTTTTGTTACAGTGCAATCCGGCCTATTACAATAGATAACGTGGCTCTTTAACGGTACTCCAAAGTGAGCATTCTGGCCAGATAGATTGGCCTATATGCATTCCCCGATATGCGACTCGTGGCAAATCAACTGGGCCCAGGTCTCTTTGGACTGTTTGTCCAGCTGTGTGCCCTAAGACTTCATCGTAACGCTGAGTATAAATTTCGTGCAGTCTTGGTGGAGAAAGAACCTGCTCTCTTCTTAACCAATCCTATTCATGAGTTGACAAGACTAGCTTCTACATGACACAACACTCATCAGCAGGCTGCTTCCCCTTCAGCTCCATCCCCTCCCCCCTCCTAATCAACATATCCTCCTCCTCCTGCGACACCCTCGGCGCCAACCTCCCCCTCAACTCCGCAAACTTATCTGTCCACCAATACCCAACCTTCATCCACTGCGTCACAGTCCAGTCCTGCTGATACTCCTCCAACGTCTCCTCCAACTGCCTCTTCATCCCTGGCTCATCTGTAGCAGCCCACGCGATAGCCAGCGTCAACGGAACATGGCTTGCACCTAGTGGTCTGTACTGACTTATTCGGTGCGCGAGGGACACGACCTCTGATGAACATAGAGCTGCTTCTCCCACGAGAGCGAGGTTGTATGGATCAAAGGCTTGCATGACTTGGCCGATGATTACGAGGACGGTGAGGAGGACGGAGTAGGCTGAGTTGTAGGAGCGTGAGAGGCGTAGTTGCATGGGCGTTGGGGAGAAGCCGGGCGCCCATGTTACTGCCTTGACGATCTCGGAGAGCTTGCGCAGGTCGCGGCAGAGTCTGTGGTACGCACATGTTATTTCCATGCGGTGGAGTTCAGGGTCGTTTATGAAGTCTGGCAAGCGACCTAGATTTCGGATGGACAGACTGGGGATTCCACCGGCGTCTTGGCCGTCTTTCTGGGCTTTTGCGCTTTCGGGCGTTGAGGGGGGGTTGTTCTTTTTGAAGTTGTCGAGCATGTCCCAGAACCACTTTTCTAATCTAACCTTGGGGTTCGATATACTTTCTATGATCTGGGATTGTTAGCTCGCCTGGTCTGATGAACCTTTTGGAAAGAGAGCGAGGTTTGGGGGACATACCACTGGAACGCAAAACGTCAAGAGCATGTCTGTTTCAAAACCGGCTTTCCAGTTTTCTCTCGCAGCTGCTTTGAGAAGGTATGCCAAACCTTGGCCGTGACTCGTAGTCGGGTCATCATCTCTTCCCAACCAGCCCTGAAGTTGTCAGTCTCGATCGAACCTACAATGCGAGTCACTCACCTGACAGATCATAATCAAGTACACCGAGCACATAGTCTCCGGCATCCTCGCCTTCGCAGGATCCTCCAAGCATAATCTCAACGAACTTATCGCTTTGACATACTTTGTAAGCGCATCAACAGTCTGATACCCCTGCGGTCGATGCAACGTTGAAAAAGTCGTAGCTAACGCATCAGCAGACGCATCGAGAGCTTCGTTCCTCCCCAGCCGCGCAGGAATATGTCGAAGAAAGTCTCCGTAGCATGTGATGTCATATCGCAGATCTGTAATCTCTAACCGCGAAACAAGCGTTTGAGTGACCATTGTTGTTTTGTTGTACGGGACTTTGATCAGCGCTTGGGTGAAAGAAATAGGCGATTTTGAAGACCGCGAACTTGAGCTCGTAGTGTCATCTTCTGTGTCGATGCTCTGAAGACTTATACTGTCTCCCGGCTCGAGGGTCTGGACTTTGAACTTGTAGCGCTGTTTCCCAACGTTGATGCACGGGATGTCAAGCCTTTCACACCTCGCACACTTGGGCTGAGCTTTATCACACTATCCCCTCGTTAGCCTCAACAATTCTCCAATACCGATATTACACAAACTTAACTTTTTCTTCTGCTTCCGACACGCATCGCAGCCTTTGTAAGATGGAACGCCAGGCATTGTTGATCAGAGCGGTATATCTCACCCAAAAGAGACAAGATTGATGGGACCAAGAAAAGAGAGCTGGGAATACCCGAGATAGTTAAAGGCCCCGCAGACTCACTCGTTGAGAAGGTCGAGATGCACGGAGTAAGCTCAGCCTTGGAAATGGATCTCACATGTTTTGGTCTCCACTTGAACGATGACGGAGCGCGCCATTTTGCCTGATTTGGAATAGTGGGCTTGGGATGAGCCACGAGATTGGCATGTTTCAAAAGGAAGCAATTGAGCGAGAGGCAAGTACTTGCACATGATTTGTTCGTTTGCTCCGAATTCTAGTGAGTCTAAATTTGCTTATTTGATGTTTTGACGAATTAGATGGTTGAGGGCTGTTGATCCTAGGCATACAGACCTTTATCATCCCGAGATCAGCGCTTCTGACAGAACTGCTCAGCCTTGTACGATGAGCTGCAGTGGAGATCTTTCGCCTCTCTCACTGTCTATAAGTTTTGATAGGTCAAATCTTTATATTCAACACAGTGGGCAATCTCGACGGACTCAACGGTATCTGCTACTGGGCATCAACATTGGTGGACTTGATCAACTATTGCAATCCTCGAACAACGACGAGTGGAACCAAATTTAAGACTGTTAGCACTTACTTAGAATACGGCAATCTTATCGAGTTGTATAGATTCTGCATGACGACAGCGGAATTGTCGTCATTTGTCTCAGTTCCGCGTCGGAATATAATGCATGTAACGCTGCTCGAACGAACCGACCAATCAGCTTGGCTTGCCACCAACAGGGCTGTGCACTAACATGCTGATTACAACCTCTGTCGCTGCATGTTTACCTTTTAGGGAATGACATGAGCTTATATTATTGACATCACTTGGCAAGAAAGACATAAAATGACAATGGATCCCTCACCGACCTTCTTGGTCTGCTCAGCTTCCCAGGCGAAGGAAATCACAGTCGATACAAACCAATCATCACCGTCCTCATGGAGAAACTACTCAATAAAGTCTTATACGGATCATCCGGCCCCCAAGGCTCCTCTTCCAATGGCTCTCAAGTCTTTACCATCCGCCCACACCCCCAAGACGACAACCTTCTCTCTATCCTCCCCTCCACCGCACCCAAAGAATCTCCTCCCCTGTACACAATCTACAAACGTCCCAGCAGCTCAACCCTCCTAATGCACCGCGGCCACGCGGCCCCCGAAAACATAATAGCATCAGCGACAATGCATCTCAGCACATCTCGCATCGACGTGTCAGTGTTTAACCAGCCAATGGTGATCAAGAACAGCAGCATGACAGGGAGTTGGGGGTTTCACACGCACATGGGCAAGTTCAAGTGGAAGGTGAATCAGATGACGGGCACGGGGTTCGAGTTGTATGATCAGAGTGGGAAGAAGCTGGCCAAGTATGGGAGTGCGGGCTGGAAGAGGTTTGGGGAGAAGGAGCTTAGTGTCTATGTGCAGGGGGATGAATTCTTTGTGGTTATGGTGTTGTTTTCTGCGGTGGTGTCGAAGGAGTTGAAGAAGATTATTGATGAGGTTGTTGGGGAGGTCGCGGGTGCCGTGGCGGGTGCATAGTCTGTGAGTGGAGGAGGTTGATGCAGATAAGCATGGCGTTTGGGTCAAACAAGATAGGATTAGTGATATCAATGCGATCGGTTTCTTTTGACACGTCCTCGTGTAAGCGACAGCCTGAACCTCAAAGAGAAATCTGCCAATTCGCCGGTCTTCATGTTGTCTCACTCTTCAAACTCCGAATAAACCTCGCCGGAACTCCCCCCACCAACGTCTCCGCCTCAACATCCTTGATAACAACCGCCCCCGCCGCAACAGTTGCTCCTCTCCCTATAGTGACACCCGGCAATATCGTAGCCCGAGCTCCTATCCAACAATCCGCCTCAATCCGTATCGGCAGCGCAAACGAAGTGCCCTGCGCTTCTCTCCGGCTTTGCATATCTGCAGCGTGAGTTCCTGGGCAGATACAGACCCCAGGACCTATAAGTACACCGTCTCCTATAGTAACAAGTGCGTTGTCGTGGATCGACACCCTGCGTGTTTCTGAGCGAGATGGGTTCTTGTGGGGGCTGTGAGGCTTACTCTCTGTTCATGTAGACGCCGTTTCCGATGAAGATGTTGCAGCCCCAGAGGAGAAAGAAGGGGGGCTCGATGGTGACGTCTTGGCCTAGTTTTCCAAACATTTCTTTTGCTACTGCCATGCGTCTTAATTTTAACGATATGAGGGTGCTGCCATCTGGAATACTCTCATCGTTAAATGAGAGCAGTTTCTTCTTTGTAGCTACTTTGTAATCCATCATTTCCTGCGAGTTGCCCGTGTTGAAGCTGCATGCCCCACGTTAGATAATTCCTCGGTTGCAGTGGATGAGACTGACTTCATTCCGCTTATCATCTTCTCAAACTCGTCACACCATGGAATTGGAACCTCACTCTGTCGGAGTTCAGCGATACGTTCTGGGTTCTTACTTGATGCAGCCATTTTTCGTATCTAATAGATGAGATTCTGATATGTCGGAAAAGTTGGCTGTTAGTTGCAGTGGCGCCGTGGGAATTTGGGGTCGAAGAATTGGGTTAAAAAGCGGAGTAAGCACGGGGTATTATGTCATGATTCAGCCTGAAAGACGATTGATCGACGACGGATGTTGTGCCGCACACTATCAATCGGGCCTCAAAGCTTGTTTATCGTTTCAGCATAGTCCAGTGATTTGAAGCGGTATCTCTGTCCAACGACATATTAGGATCAATTCCGATTCGTCAATGTGTCAGAGGATGATGAACTCGGGTGATCGGTGAGCCAGATCCCTGCCAGGTGCCCGAACTGAGGACCCAAACTAGTACCAACTTAAGAGCTGATTTATCGATGAAATTGCTTACGTGGAACTGTATGTTGTTGATACAAGTGCCCGGTTGGTTTGTGTATCAGATAAGCGTTGATGTGATGTCTAGAACTTGCATCGTTGCCGTCCTACTGCATTGTAATCTAAAACAGCGAGTCTCGTCAAAGGGGGGGAGGGG